TACGAGGCATTTCAACATAGTTATCTGGCATGGATGATGATTTTGATTTTTTGTTCAATGATTATTTGTGTAACTTCAACCAAATTTGGGGCATGCTCAAAATTTACAAAGACTAAAGATAGCAAGTTAAGTGGTTTGTTTATGAGTCATAAAATATTAACACATACTATAATATAAACCTGGCTCTAATAACGCATTCTTCTTTTTAAGTTTTGTAATTTAGTTTCATATATGCAGATAATCTTTTTAAATTAAAAATATAAATTCATAAATGCACAACGTTAAAAAATGTGTTTATTTATATTATGTTCCCTTAGTTCTGAAATTTAGTTTTGTGTACGCCATTGCCTTTGTCTAATTTAGTTTCATTATATCCTATGAGTCTTCGGGCAGGACCATGTATTAGAGTGTATCCCATACAAAACATTAAACCTGTCAAAACATTAAAAAGGAATCATTCTTTTAAAGAAGCAATCATTTCTTTAAAAAAAATATACTTAAAGATGGACATATTCCAATTTTTTTCTGTATACATAGATGGTTACCCATGTTCTTAGAAACTTCTGAAAAAATGAATATACAACTTGGAACATATTAAAATAAAAAAATAATAAAAACCTAAACAATTGCAGCTGCCGTTATTTCATGACGTCAGTGCTATCCAACCATTTTGACTAAGTGGGCCAAAAAGATTTTCTCCACGATCCCGACGACTGCAAATAAAATACATAATTATAATTTTTTTCCTTTTTATAAAAAGATTCATATTATAAATACTTAATACCTGATAGATAAAAGGTCATATATGCAATAACTTTATATAAATAAATCCAATAAAAAGTTTGGCCATTTTTAAATTATATATTTGGCTTTGAATTGTACGTTAAACTTTTTTTTTTGTTTGTTTTTTTTTGTTTAGGTAATTAATTGTCAGTAGCACCAGCTCCCCCCCCCCCTTTTTTTATTAGACTCCCTCCCCCCCTCCCCCCAATTGGGTTTGCTAAATGTTCACCACTCATAGCGTTACGCTTCTTGGACTTTATGTTGGACATCACAGAGACTCCCGCTTCAGGACTTTCCTGTGATATCATTCCACAAAGCGCAGTGGTTAACTCGCAGTTCTGATCTTTTTCATCTATATTGATCCGCAAGGTGGGCAATGTTCCCTCTAAGCTTTGCTGGTTCGTTTGTAAAATCATACAGTTGAGTACAAAGTTTTACAACATCGATTTTTTGTGTGTGCAAAATTTTACAGCCCACAAATACAAACACACTTATATGGAGATTTGCTTCGCGGATACTCAAAAACTGCTTCGCGGCATCTGTGAGCATAAACTTAAAGGGAACATGGCTGGTGGGGGCGAGGAGATTTTTTACAAAATAGCTACATGACCAAATAGCCAAATCATAATTTAAACATTCATCTTTACCATCGCCGCCAGTTAACATCACCTGCAGTGCATTAAATATTTATCTATAAACTAAAAGTTAATTTATTTGGTGTACTATGCAATATATATAACAACTCTTATACTGAATATAGTTATTATTAAAATCATAATAAAAATTAAAGTAATAATAACATGGCTAATTATAATAATAGAAATACTTAGAACAATATAATATTTTTATTTTAATTCAAGACCAATTATATATTATATATATATATATATATATATATATATATATATAGGCCTACATATGTATATAATTACTATACAAGCAGCATCCACATTATGTAAGTTGAAAAAATTGTAACAAAATATGTCATTCCTTTTCATTAATTTATTTATATAAATTTAAATTAAATCTTATGTTATGCAAAGGGTAACTTATTCGATTTTCCAATTGTTTTTTTCTGTGTTTTAAACAACTAGGACAGTGCTTTGCAATCCATGGGCTGCGATCTTATTTTAAATGGCTCACGCTAGAGAAATGTGTAAGTGTGTAAAACAATAAAACATTTTATGGTGAAAATATTTTTAAACCACATGTCATTGATTTAGTATTGTTGGGAAATTACGAGAGAACAAAGGGCGAATTTGTAACATGGAAAAAGTGGAGGTCACAAAAGCTAAGAAGCAGTATGGCTTGACAGTATCAGTAATTTATGTTAAGCACATCAGCAGCGCAGCCATTGGGTAACGCAGGCGAAATAAAATCGGATACTATCTTTTCCTATTACCTGTTTCTTGTACAGGGGAGGCGTCAGGATTTATGGGGTATGAGCGGACAAATGAAGCATGAACTTTAACGAAACCAAATGCCACACAATGAGCATCTCAAGAAAAATCCATCAATCTATATGTACTCTCTAAACAAAACCATTCTCCAACAAGTATCAAATAATCCATAGCTTGGAATTATTCTCTTCTCGAATAATCTAAAATGGTCACCCCATATACAATAAAATTCAATAAAAAAAGCCAACTCAACTTTTGGTTTCATTCGAAGAAATCTGCCCAACATCCTGCAAAAGAAATGCCTATCTCACACTAGTCCGTCCGCTACTAGAATATGGTGCGATCATCTGGGACCCACATCTAAAGCAAGACGTGGACAAGATGGAGCGAATAAAAGGTAATGCAGTGCGCTTCATCGCGACTACGAATCCACCACTCCTGGCTTCGTCACTGACCTCTTAAAAAGATTTGACATCCCCTCTCTCAAAGACAGACGAGAAGAGCCCCGCCTAACATTCTTATATAAAGTGGTCACGGGGCTAGTTTCGGCCATCCCAGCTAACACGTATCTCAACCATATAGAAGCGAGGTCGCTTAATCAGAGCCAAACGCTCAATAAACTCTGACTTCACCTACGACAACATGAGCAGTAACATCTGATACAATAGTAAATGCTGCACTGTGCCTCGGTTTAACACAGTCCAATATAAACAATCATTCTTCCCACGAACAATAATTGCTTGGAACCAACTGGACAATGCCGCCGTGGACTCGACATCAATCGAGAGTTTCAAGGCTGCCCTGGCACCCGCTAGGAGCGGTTAGGATACCCGTATCATTTCCCAAACCGTTGCACATATGCCAGATCATGGATGCAGCAACGTGCCCTTGCAGAATCAGAAGTGCCTCGAGCATTTTTAACAACCTTGCACACACACAGAAATCATGAATTAATAGATGGTAGCAAAAAAAGAACACAACTGTGGTAAAAGAACGTATTACAATGAGTATTACACCTCAGCTGCAGGCGAAGATAAACACTGACCTTAAAAAGTAAAAGGGGAGTCTTAATTTATGTCATAGGACCCCCATGTTGATAGGCCAGACACCACTTTATTTATTTGTGTTTTATCTAAATTCTACTATTGCATTAAATGCCTTTTTTGGTCGGTAGTAAAGTTTAAATTAAATAGTGTTATAAGGAGTAAGCATTGTCGAATTATTTACGACTGTGTACAGCCACAGCAGAGATTGCTGATAAAAGAGATTTAACTAAAGGATACAAAAATTGACCCTACTTCATTATTAACAAACACAAAAGTGTAATAATTTAAACTTTTAAAAATCCGCCGTTCAGAAAGGATGACAGGATACGTCTAGGTCTCAAGTTACCGAAGCCTAATTATGTCCGTTTAGTTTTACATCTTAAAAAAAAATTAACTACTGCACGATAAAATAGAAAAGTTACCAGATTATTCACTTGTTATTCTTTGAACATTTATAAAACAGGAACACCACGTTTTCAATTACTATTTTGAACGAATTTGTTTTCCTTTCATTGTCTCTTTAATAAATTTTTTTTTAGCACCTGGCTTAATACAATCAAATTGGGGTTGTGATTTCCGTAAAAGAAAACATTTAATTAAGTAACTCATCTCTCTTGTTTTACAGAATCCCAGTTAATTAGAGCAACTGCATTGCATTGTAGTTATCGCGTCTGATAAACTTGGACAACATCCCACAAACAAACAAGTTTTGTGTATAATGAAGATAAACACAACGCAAGCTACTCTCTAAAACATAGTCAAGTCATTATTTCACAAGTGTTTTTATTTTCAAACTGTAAATGAGAGGATATAGAGGGAAAAAAAAGTTTAACTAGGTTAAATTGTATGCTAAAACTTAGAACAAATGACATTTGTTCTAAAATGATAAAATTAAAATATAAAAATGCTGTAGATTATAATGAAACTTACTACAAAACTCACCTACGTTTTTTTGCGTCACTTTTCGATATGCGCAGTGCCGTGCACGGGCGAGTTTCAAGTTGCCTTTGAAAATAGTCTTATCTTAAACTTTTAGGTTAAAATAAAACTAAATTAGACAATATCTAAATCGTATCAAGGAACTAGATTAAAAAAAAATATTCCAGTGTGTAACACAACTTAAGTAAATATAATCAATTCCATGTAAAAAAAAAATAAATAAATTGCAAATTTTACCACAGTTTAATAAGAAAAAAAAAAAGAATATAAAAGCTGTAAAGATAATAAAAAATGGTAATAGCTTGGGCCTACACAGAAACTAATTTACACAATTGTTTCAGCATGTGAAGAGAACTATTTTTTTTGGATTTTGTAGCATGTAAATTAACAAATTTTTAGAAAAGTAATAACTCATAATAATTATAATATCTTATAAAGAAACTAAATCGCACAAGTATTATAAATATAAAATATAAAATATAAAACTTTGCAAATCCCCTCTACATGCATAGGAGCCAAAATGATCAATACATTGATCGTGGGCCCTTAATAAATAGAAGAAGAAGAAGAAGAGGAGTTAAGTATATTACACTTTTTGTTAATTGTGATATAATGAATGTTTAAAGAAAATAAAAAATTTTCATTAATGTTAACAAATATGTTCAAGGAGTAGTTTGATAACTTTTGAACATTTTATTTTTTAAAAAAACAAACACAACCCACCAAAAAAAAAAAAAAAAAAAAAACCCCCCCCCCCCCCAAAAAAAAAAAAAAAAAAAAAAAAAAACAAAAAAAAAAAAAAAAAAAAAAAAAAAAAACAAAAAAACAACAACAGGAATATTCAAATCCAAAATAACATCGAAAATACCCAAACATTAAAATATCTGCAGACGTTTGCAGAGATAATTAGAAACAAATACAACCAATGTGCTTTTTCATAAATTACATTTTTAAAAAAGATGATACATTATTTCAGGAAGGTTTTCAAGTGTTGCTCGATTTAGAATGTCCATATACTTTTCATAGTTTTCATTTACTTCATTCAGATACTTTTCTATTCTATCATTAATTATTTCAAAAGTATCCTGAAATTGACCAACAGTAGCATAATTACATACGGTGGTAAACACTTTTGTGAACCCTAACACAAATTTAGCGGCTGAGAACTGAACAAAGCCTGGGAAATTTTTCATCGTTTCCAGGTCTTTTATCATCTGTTCCTGCTGTTGTCTTTGTTTCTCTTCATCCTCTGTTTCTCTCATTTGTTTTATATTTTCTGTCAGTCCATCAATTTGTCTTTTAAAGGACTGAAATTCTTTGGACTTATCGTTAAGCTTGACCAGTTCCCATTCTATCTCTTTAATATTAGATGTCATGGCATCATAGGACACCACGTTGTTTCTCATATCCCTATTGAGTTGATCCACCAACAGACTCAGCTTTTCTTGAATCTCAGCACACAACGCAGGTGCTCGTAAGTTTTTGATTAAAGTTTCTCTAGCAGTTTTGGCGTGTTGGAAATGTTCACTTGTGTAAGGTTTGGGAATCTCTCCACGGATTAGATCGAACATTTCTTTGACACTTTCTTCTTTCAATTGTTTAAACATTGGTCCACGGTTGTAGAACAAGACACATCTGTTGTTGCATTCGTTTAGTAGTTGAACAAACGGGGATTCCCCATCTTTTTCCTTCTGGTCATTGAGCCATTCTTGGAATGTAAAGCTTTCACAATAATTATTGGAAAAACTGTCACCTTGGGTCATAACAATTACACCAAAATCTCTTAGTATATTTTCGCCAAAGTATTGTTTTAATGTGATAAAAACTTGTTTTTCCTCCTCTGTGAATCTGGTACCATACCTCATGACAAAAATTATGGCACTAAAACCTCCTGGACATAAGCTCATTGCTTGACCTATTTCCGAGAGTGTGGATTCGGTTGGCTCTTGTGTGTCTAAAAGACCAGGAGTATCAACAACTCTGACCAGTGTATCCCCTCTCATAAAACATTGTAAAGTGCACATCTTTGTCTCTGACACTGTAGCGTCAGAACGTTTAAATGCTTCTTCTCGGCCTATAATGCTATTCCCAGTGGAACTTTTACCATGTCCTGTTTTTCCTAGCAACACTAAGTTAACGAATGGTCGGACACTTGCCATCTTCAAAGATTATGACTGCAAATCCAACCTTGAGATAAAATTCATTTATTATATAATCACGTTATAAATAAAACTATAATAGTGTGCAAATTCCTTTACAATAGTGAGACTGCTTTTGTAATAATTTTTTTTTCGTTCAATTTTTTGCACACCTCAATCCCATAAAGTTATAGTTTTATTTTATGTTGTAAATATAATTACGAATTTAAATTAAGATGTACCAATTATCTTTAATGTTGAATTTTGTTATTTTTTACATCCTGTAGATATTTTAAAACGAAAAAGTCATCAATGAAGGATAATCCCTGAGAATTAATGCCTAATTAAGTTCTCAGTAAGTTTTAATGCAAAAGACAATAATAACAAGAATTGTTGGGTGAACTATAACGTATTACTTAATAGATTTTTTCTTTAAAAGTAACGTCTATGTATTTATACTGTAGTGCTAGTCTTTAACCTTTAAATACCTTATTTTCTTGAAGTCAAAATGAAATCCAACCACCTTTAAAATGTAACAGTGCCACATGTAGATAACTGGCTGTTTTGACAAGTGATCGTGAGATTTTTACTGAACTAACGATAACACTTGACTTTTAGACGCAACAAGCTAGGAATTGGAGAAAGAAACGACCGCCTGCGTTTGAGGAACAAGAAAATGTATCAGACGTTTCAACGCATACGTTCAATATCTTTTACTTTGATGTTTTAGACTTGGCAGCACAATTATTTAAATAAAGGTTATACCATCAATGGTATAATTTTATTATTTGACTTACTTTATGATATTTATTTTAAAGACATTTTTAACATTAAATTAAAGGAATGGAAGATTTTTTAAATTAAAGTGCACAATAGAAAAATCAAATTTATTCTAAAGATCTGGGATGGGAACTTAAAGCTATGAACGAAATACTTCAAAAGTCGATGAAACCATACGAACTGCTTCACTTCATCATAACAATACCAAAGATAAGATAACGTCTTCACTATATTTGCGTTAACGCTGCTTCTCACGCTTCCAATATCAGTGGCAATCGGTTAGCGGGGCTGCCTGCAACGTACAATCATGCACTCCATTACATAATAAACATTTTCATAATTGTGTGGGTCAACACTGGTTCCATTTGATGTTAACAGCTTTTATAGGTGTTGGGGGCGCTGACATCGACTACACCCACTAACCTAACGTTAGGGGTTCACCACTGAAGTACCACAAGGGCTTTCTACGATTTCACGTTTGATCCTTAAAGCTTCCTTAAGATATTCAATAATTAAAAAGCTAACTTAAGCTTAAGGTAAATTGAAACACTTTAAAATCTTCAAATTTTAAAAGACGCTGTGAACAGTTTAAAAATTAAATTACTGTAAATGTTACTTTTTAATAATTAATTTGTGTCAAATGCTTTTTTTTCTCAAAATTAATGCGCTTTACTTAAAATATTTGTAACAGTTTTATATTTAAAATTTGTTTAAATGTTTAAGTGGAAAAAACATAGTCAGAGGGAGAGTACCTACATACTTAACTTTCGCTTTGAAAAACTCAAATGAAAAGATAAAACACTTTAGCCAGAATAAGGAATTTTCTTGTCAGCCTTGTTTTTTTTATAATGAAAAATTTGATATATTTTAAACGTATAATATATAAATATCAATTTATTTACATATATAATCAACAATTAACACTATTTCATAATAGCTGTCTAGGTTAACTAATTACAATTTAAGTCTATTTCAAACTTACTACGAGTTATTCTTTAAACTACTGTCGACATGGTCGTTTACTGAGTGGTTATCAGCTTAAGAAAAAGCCACCGGCAGTCCGAGACTGAAACTTCCAATTCATGCTCTATTTATAGTCGCAACTTTCAACGGTTCTCATTTGTTTATTCCGTTTACATCCCTAACTTAGATTAAAAAATAAATACAAGGAAGCTAAATTAAAATCATTTTCATAAATGAATTATCTTAGTTTTTAGATTTTTTTTTCAAATTTTAGTATAATTTATTATCTGATAAATATAAGGCAAAAAACGATTTTGTCCATAACGTAAAACTGAATAATAATGTTTTTAATACTACACAAAAGAACAATAAGTCTAATTTGTATGTGATGTCTTTTCTATCCATGCCAATTCACAAATACGTCTAATGTGTGTGTGATGTCTTTTCTATCCGTGCCAATTCACAAATACGTATAATATGTATGTGATGTCTTTTCTATCCGTGCCAATTCACAAATACGTCTAATTTGTATGTGATGTCTTTTCTATCCATGCCAATTCACAAATATGTCTAATGTGTATGTGATGTCTTTTCTATCCGTGCCAATTCACAAATACGTCTAATTTGTATGTGATGTCTTTTCTATCCATGCCAATTCACAAATATGTCTAATGTGTATGTGAAGTCTTTTCTATCCGTGCCAATTCACAAATACGTCTAATTTGTATGTGATGTCTTTTCTATCCATGCCAATTCACAAATATGTCTAATGTGTATGTGAAGTCTTTTCTATCCGTGCCAATTCACAAATACGTCTAATTTGTATGTGATGTCTTTTCTATCCATGCCAATTCACAAATATGTCTAATGTGTATGTGAAGTCTTTTCTATCCGTGCCAATTCACAAATACGTCTAATTTGTTTGTGATTTCTTTTCTATCCATGCCAATTCACAATTATGTATAAGTAGTTAAAATTTAAAACAAACAATTAATTAAGGAGATATGCGATGAACAATACAAATTATAAAAATTAAAACAAAATAATGACAGGAACGAAATTAAGTTTTACTCGTGAATATGATTTTATTGACTTTATTAACTGTTTGAAATAAACGTTCCATTATGAGATAATAAATTCAGTTTGTAATAAAAGCTAAATAAAAATGTAATTATATCTACTTAGTACCCCTGATTGCTATAAAGGTTTATTTTACAGGAAGAGAATATGATGTTTCAAGGTGCGCTAATGATACTTCGCAGACATTTTCAATAAATTGTCTTAAGAATGAGTTTCTAAGTCAAATCCATTTGTAAAGCTGAAAAAAGTGAAATGTTCCTCATGAATTAATTGAAAATAATTTTGATAATATTTTCCTGAAATAAATCGAAACGTTATGCTCCTTGAATCCTAACGCTGATCGTGCGTAAATAAGATACAAAATACCTGTATTTCTTCTAACAGGCTCAACTACCAAGTGCATGTACTACTTATTGATTGCACTACAAAATGACTGTACTACTAAATGTAAAATGCCTGTTCTACTTAATGACTGTACTGCTAACTAGCTGTACTATAAAATGACTGGATTGCTTAATGCCTATGCTACTAATAACTAGATGTACTACTAAATACATGTGCGACTAAATGGCTGTAATAAAAAATGCCCGTGCTACTTAATGTCTGTGCTACTAACAGGGACACCCCCTCCCCCGAATTTGAAGGTTTTATTTAAATTGCTACATACTGTGGCGCCTCTAGTAATAAACAACTTAACAAGCCGATCAAGTTGTTTTAGTTTTGCCCTCACCCCCCTGAAAAACTATCTGAAATGACGCCCCAGGCTACTGAAATGTTACATTAAGAAATGGCGTCAGCGGGCCGTCGAGCTTGCGCTCTTTATGCCCTCCCCAAAACACCCCTACCCAACCCGGTATCGGGCCGCAGAGCGGCACGTCGGGGATGTCCCTTTGTCAGGTCTGGGTGTATGGGAATGGTCCATGGTTGTCCTTCACCATCATCACTATGTTAAATATGCATTTATTTAAATTGACAGTAAAAATCCCTTACAATCCATTTGGGCACGAAAGCGCTTGAAGGCAAGTAGCAATAACCATGTAAGGTCTTTAGCAAAATCCATGAAAGGTCTTATGACTATTGCCTATTGAATATTGACTATTGCATATTGGATATGGACTATTGCCTATTGAATATTGACTATTGCATATTGGATATGGACTATTGCCTATTGAATATTGACTTTTGCCTATTGGATATGGACTATTTCCTAATGGATATGGACTATTGCTAGGAATTTTTTAGAGGTTGAAGCTGTCTCCGTGATTGTTTGAAAAAAAAATCAATTTATAATTATCTGGAAAAAATGTATACCCACTAAGTCACTATTTGTCAAAACATTCCTTTGAGGTTTTAAAATAAATCTTTTCCTGTCCCAGGACAACAAGATGGCTACCCGTGCCATGAAGACAAACACGATTGGAAAATGGTCTACAGCTTCTTAGAGGCCAGCAAATGATTTAATTGATTTAATGATCATTCACCCATGCCTTTGGCCAGTTACCCTCGAGCGCTGCTCTCATTCACCCAGGCCTTCGGCCAGTTACCCCGAGCGCTGCTCCTTACCTCAGAAGTTTTTAAATTTCTTTATTACAGTTGCATGATTTTTTTTGCAGTAAAGCCTGCTGACCTTAGCTACGAACCTTCATGATTTGGCAACAATTCCCTTCCGGCCATTGATCTTGTTCATGGCACAAATTCCATGCCAGCCAATACAACACTATCGACCAATACCCCTCTCTGGTCAGGAGTTACAGACCGCTCTTCGCCCGACAGCCATTTCTCGGCCATACCTTGTATCATTGTGGTCATCTGATTTGTAGACATACTCAGAGGCTCATGATGACGTCGCTCCTCCATCATTGAACTTTTCATGGACTTTAAAACCAGAAAAAAACTTAAAGAAAATTAATAGGGGTTTGGTGGAGCGGGGTTGTCTTTCTTAATTAACTAGAACCTTTACATATCTGGGGAAAAAAATCAGCAGGAACGTGTTTTTAAAAGTACGTTCTTTTCGTTGATACCAATAAATCTTGTCTATGAGTTGGAGCCCCGCCCAAGCAGTACAGTACAGAGACCCCCTCAACGTGACCTCTTGGGTGATACCGACCAAATGATTGCAACAAGTGGGTCGCGCTGTAGAGGAGGAAGGTTCATCCACTCCACTTTATCACCACATTGTCTCAGGCTTGCCCAGGCCCGCCTTTTCTTGTCTCACTGATGTGTATACCTGTACAACAGCCTGTATCGAGGTTTCTATAACCGCTAATGAAGGTTGTAAATCTACACTGTACGAATCAAAGGGGAGGGGGTTGAATTGTATTGTGCTAGCAAAGTGAGGATTCTCGTCGGGGTTGCTTAGCGTGACTCTCCCCCTCCCAGTTATATCAACACAATACTTCTGAGCAATCTCCTGATGTATATAAACCTGGCACAATTTATTGTAATGTTAAATAATGCAATGACAACTTTCTGCCTGTGTTTTGTGCATTCTCGAGTATTAATTTCCTGACTTAACTTGTTATACCTTCCCCTTTTCCCCTTTTCCCCACTGCACCATCTTCAAAAGCTAGTGTGTTTCTGATAGCAGATAAGATAGGAACACTGGTCTGACAGTAGATAAAAAAATGACCATTGGTAGATAATAGATGACACATTTAAAGGAGCTACACATGTTAATATGGTCAATATCAAGTACCATTTTGTCAATGGCTTAAGGCTTAAGGTGTTAGTATGATTAACAACAATCGAAGATTTCTTAAAATTGGAGTTATCCCTACTTGATATGGTTTACAGTGTTATACCTGTCGCATAAGGTCCAAATCTGTCACATAAGGTTCTATCTGATACATTAGGTCAAATCTGTTACTTATAGTCCTGTCTGTCTCTTATGGTAAAATATGTTCATCTCATCTCATGTCCCTTAGTCCTTGGACCATTGGGGTGCCACAGATGACATGTGAACCATACTCCTCCATTCATCTCTGTCTTCAGCACTACACACTGCATCGTCCAGTGTTAGTTCTGATGAAAAATAGGATGGCAATGGTCTTACAGATATCGTAGAGCCAATTTCAGATCGATTTGACCTAGTGTCAGACATAAAGATATTGATGGCAAAATTATAAATATTGATAATACTGACACGGGTGATTTACTGCTCACATACAGGCTATTGCTACCAGATGCAAGTCTATGAAGACAATGCTTCAGTCACTAAGTTATTGTATAAATTATACTATATATTTATTATTTATTATAACAGAAAGGTATTGTACAATTTTGAGGTGCTAAGAGCTATTCTAGACTAAATTGTACACTAGAGGGAGTTCCAGTGTAACCAGGTCTTCTACTGTATTATCATACTAAACGTCGTTCAACATACTCTAGTCCTTTATGCATCTTTCCGTGCTGGTGACGTAATTGGTTCTGTCGGCGACCACTAATGAAGGTGGGGGGGGGGACAATGTTTTTAAACCAGGTCTCGTAATATAGTAGTTATGTGTCTCGACGTAGAATCGTACAATACATCTCAAAATCGTTCACGGTAGTCCAAAGTCCAAATCGTAAGAGTAAACAAGAATTCATTAGGCCTACATATTTATTATAAGAAACAGTTATACGTTTCATGCTGTTAACAATGTTACTGAGAAATAACACGTGTGTTATTTCTCAGTAACATTGTTAAAAGCATGAAAATTATGAATTTCAATAAATGAAAGAATTGAATAACCCTGAAGTTCCCTAATTATTATGTAACTAACACATTTTTTAGAAGACTTGTGGTATTAGTTAAGAAGTATAATTTGTTACTTTAATACTTATGTGACTTGGATGTTACTTGATGAAATATTAAAAAAAAAATATTTGGCATACGTTTTGTTTATGCAGAGGGAGGATGTCTGTGGTGATCTGTCTTATAATATAAGAGTGAGGAGTATCTCTCGTATGAGATCTCCTCTTGGCACTCTGTCTAGGGATACTTTACTTTAGCCAAATTACCACACAGACATAATAACCTATCTATATACATAGAGTATAGACTGAAACAAAGTCTTGGGTAAAGGAGAAATAGCTGAGCATTTATTGAATAATAATATTTACAAAATCCTCCTTTATACACTCCTACTCCTGGTGCTTAACATATATACATCAAACGGATTTTATCCAATTAGAAAGGTATATCAATGCAAAGCAAGTGTCCCTAACATACAAGTGGCATCATCATTATAAATGCTAAATTTGCTCAAGTTCTAAGCTCAATCTTGGTGGGCTTAGCCTTTATAGTCCTAGTGATGATCTTGGTGGATCACACAGTGTGGGAGCTACTTCTGTTCTAGAAGCGTGTCACTGTTCCGGTCTTCGGGGCTGTTCTAGGCGTAGCGAAGTCGGAGTTCCCGCTCGTAGATTCCGTGGGATGTCTGCAATGGGGAAGATTACTCTCCCGCGATAAATCGTGGCATTGAGAGTCCCTGGATCTCAAAGTCCTTCTAGTAGCTGTCAGGTAGTTTGGTGTAGGATGTAGATCAATCCCCTAGCTCCAGCTTAAAGGTAAGTCGTTCCAGTAATAGAAACCAGGTAGTACTCTAGGTAGCAGTTAAGTATCACGCTAAGTCCAGATCCTTCCAGCGTTCACAATCAAGTGATCAGATCTTAAAAGACATATACTTGCTAATATCCTAGGTTGCAGTTATGTATCATACTAAAGAAGTTCTAAGTTTAGATCCTTCCAGCGTCCACGGTCAAGTGATCAGATCATAAAAGACAGATTCTTGCTTATTCAGGCTATATATTCGAGTTGGGTGACGATTAGGTGATGATTCAATTGGGCGATTTAAATGTTGTATGTTTTTCCATCCAATGACAATCACTTTCCATGTTGCGGGTTTGACCTTCTACTCTCAAAGTTTATCGGGCTGAGGTGAACATCCAAATTCACGCTTTGGCGTGAGTTTTCTGGTTTAGAAATTCAATAACAACAAGGGGTGATACTCCGCTTTGCTGTCTCCAGGGCAAAAATGGGGGGGGGGGGAATGATGGTATTAATTTCTCAAGGTTCAGCGTCGAGAGGGATTGAACACAAAATGCACGCTTTTTGGGATGAGCGGCCTTGAGTAGAAATGTGATAACACAAGGGGAAACCACTCGGGCTAGTCCACGGCGGGGCAAAAGGGAAAAAAGGGGGGGGGGGAATGATGGTATTAATTTCTCAAGGTTCAGCGTCGAGAAGGATTGAACACAAAATGCACGCTTTTTGGGATGAGCGGCCTTGAGTAGAAATGTGATAACACAAAGGGAAACCACTCGGGCTAGTCCACTGCGGGGCAAAACATAGGGAGGGAATGGTATTATATTACAGGTTATTTAAAGGCGTATTTGCGGGGAAAGAAATTGTATATATATATATATATATATATGGCCAGCTCCAGATCATCACAGTCACAGATAGGGATGTGTGAATGACTAATGGGAGACAAGTAATATGCTTAATATTTCTTGTATATCGTGGTAAATGATGCACTAATAATAAAAGGAGAGCAGGGAATAAAAATGATGTGATCAGAGACCGTTGATTTTGTAACATGATTTTGTTTATCTATCTATAAAGTAAAAGAAGATTATATTATGTGAAAGCATAATAGTAATTAAAATTTTTGTTAGATAATTCAAAGTGTCTTTATATTTTTGTGACGTAGCCTAATTATTATTGTGAATGTCGATATTAAAATTAGTAATTGTTTGAACCACATCGTCTCGGGTTAAAAGTACATAGCAAAGGACGATACCAAATCAGAAATATAATAGCAAAATAAGACACTCAAAACAGTACCAATTACATTTAATACGATTTATTAAGTTACTATGGATTACAAAATAAAAGAAATATAGTTAAAAATCATCGACTTACAGAAAATTGTATGGCTGGTACCAGTACAATGTCGAAATAAAACACAGTGTGCAGAAATGTACAATGGACAAATAATGAAAAGAAGTCTACTGTAAACAAACTATCACACGTTACAAAAATAACCCTCACACGCTGTCTGCGTATCTGCTCAGCATTCTGCCGTGATTCAACCACTCGCCTTATATAGACTATCGTCTGTTTCATGGAATTTTCTAGGCGTATTGCGCATTGTATAAGTGACTGGAACACTCCACAATTTACTATCATCTTCTATGGCCTTCGAGTCAACACGAACAAGCGATAGCTAGGTTTGTGATAAACAAGATCAAAAGAAATAAGCCACGCCCAAAACGAACGCAGCGTCCGCTAGGGAAATCAGCACGGGGGAAATATGATGTGAACACGTCCTACATAGCACTGCCTCTTATAATTTTTCCTCATTGGCACTTCAACAAATTATCACGCAGTTCATAATTTTATTCCAATGGTCCCTGCTCTTTTTACAACACACACACACAAACACAGAAAATCATTTTTCAGGTATTACGCACCAAATCTGCTAAAAACATAAACAAAAATCAACATAGAGATATCGCCAAGGTCCTTCTTTTTTATTATTTTTTTTTTAAAGTTTAAAGAAATTATGAATAAGCAAGTCATTTCTTTCTTCTTACACAAACACATTGGACATGTCAATTTATGACACCACATCTGTTAGGGCCTTTGCACAGGGGTCAAATACTACACACATGCCATGCTTTTGACAAAAATGAATCTAGAGCTTCAAATACTTAACACTGGTCATTATATTCAAGTCAGAACTGCACAATTCAAGAACTGCACAATTTGAGAAATGCACAATTAGGCACAGCATCAATAAAATATATTTGAATTCATTCTCACATAAAAATATCTGTTAATTCACATTACATCTCCAAACGCTTAATCTAATTCTTACTAATTTCTAGCTTAAGTAACCAAAGTGTAGCATCGTGTAGCAAATCTTATGGATGTCCTATTTTTCCGTCATTCTATTTCTTTCTTTCTTTCTATTTGAAAAAAAATGTATTCCTAAACTCCGAGCTTTCTTCCTTCTATTACATTTAGTCTTCCTGTCTCACTTTCCATTTTTGTTCATTTTCTATTCTCGTTCATACACTTTTATCTCGATGAACAAGTGGTGAGGAAAATAAATGGTCAACAATTTTGTTTGTTATATTTGTATATATACAGACATGAAGTAAGCAAATGACCCCCAAGCTGGACCTCCTCCAGCTTGGGGCCCATGGTTATTTTTTGACAGTACTTGTGGCCGCTACCGGATCGGCCAGCAATATTAGACCTGTGTATGTGCTGTCGCTCTTGAAGTTGACAATGTCTCTCCCAGACACACAGACCTGTAGGAGATCCCCGGCTTGTAAGTGGAACACACCGCCTGTAGAAAAACAAGAAATATCACCTACGTGGCCATACACTGGAGTGATTTTTATGACGTTGGATAATCCGAATAATCTCCGTTATCCCAGTTTGTTAATATCAATTTGAAATCCTATTATCCTCAATAAAAGCATCAATAGGGAAACAAAAATTTTTAAAATATTTTTGTTGTTGAAAATTTATAGAGCAATAAATGCAAAATTAAAGCGTTTAAAACAAAATAGGGGCCTGTAGATGTGAATTAATTTAACATTTTTTTCATTGAAATATTTTAGTGCAATTTTTAAGAGTCACATACGCGTGTAACAGTTGTAAAAAAAATAAAAAACTCTAAAAAAAATAACATTTAAATGAATGAAAGAAGTAGTAGTAAAACACTTGAATAACCATTACAGTTTAAAACAGGGGTCTCAAGCTCAAATCATCCGCGGGCCGCAGGAGGTAGTATCTGAGTGCGTCTGGGCCGCATCAAGTTAGTATTCCACAAAAAAAGCGATTAAAAATTCAATAAAGCACAACTGTTACAATGTGCTCAACCCTTATTAATAACAAATCAAACATTAAGGGTTCTCAAGAAACATCATCCTCATAAAAGGAAAAAGGGTCAGCAAAAGTGGCTAATTGTATTTTGAAGTCTAAAATCAATTCTTCCTGTAGCTTTGCAATAGCATCATTACACTTACTGCTGAATGGTATGCACGAGTCCATGAGTACTTTGCTTGTTGGGAAATGGCAGAAGTTTCTCTGCGAAACATAACACAAGTTTTGTGCAGAATGCCTTGACATTGCCAAAGACAACAATGACAAGCTGCCCCTGGTCTAGTAATTTCTTCTTGAGTACATTCAGCTCATGTGTAATGTCAACAAGAAAAGCCAAATCCGTGAGCCATTTGGGATCACTTAGTACAGGAACAACCATGCCATCCTTCTCCATGAAGGCTTTAAATGCTAAAACGTTTCCAAGCAGTAGTCAGGAGCAGGCAATATTTATGAATTGCTGATGCAAAGGAAGATTGCAGGGAGAATGAATTTAGATTTTTTATAGTAGCAAATACCTTTTTGACTAACCGTTTTGAAAGTGACCAAGCTGACAGGCAATTTTAGTAGGAATTCTTTGATACTCCGTCTAATTGCTACAATTGACACAATTATGGTTGAGCACTTAATAATTTACTTTTTAATTTTTCTCAAAACTGCGTTTTGGCTATGCTATGTTTGTCTCATAAAATGCAATAAAATAAAACCTTTTAGTCCGACCTTAAAACTCCCGAACCTATCCAAACATAAAAAAACAAATTAGTCGGTGAGATTTGACTGAAACCATCGCGAAGGATTACACTATACATATTAGAATAGGGAAAACGCGCGGGCCGCATTAACACTAAACTTTGCTGTCATGTGGCGGGCTGCAAAATATGGTCTTGCGGGCCGCTAATGGCCCGCAGGCCGCGAGTTTGAGACCCCTGGTTTAAAAGATTACGTTTTTACGTTTTTGGTGGACGTTTTGTTCCTGTTTTTACTAACTGTCAATCAGCATCTGTTGACATACAGACAACTCTTTATCATTCACGTACCATGGCATCGAATATGAAGATGTTTAAGTTAATCCTTTTATCGTTACTTTTGTGGAAAAAAAAATCCACACTTTTCAGCTCTCCTCATTATCGGTAGAATATTTAATTAATAAATGTAAGATCGAATTAGGTAGCTTTTTTTTCTTTTTTTTTTTTTTTTTTATTTTTTTTTTTTTTGGGGGGGGGTTATGGCAATCATTTCAAGACATTATTTACATTCATTCCATGTTTTAAATTCCAGGTATCATAAAATGTCTTTGGACAACTATTTATTTAAAAAAAAATGAAAAACAACAAACAATCTTTTCTGCACGTCAATACACTGCATCGGCCATTTTCCAATACATTATAGACTGCAATACAAACAAAGCTTTCCAAACACTATCAGTCTATCAATTTGGATTATGAGAAGTATTGATATCGTCTGCTATAAAGTGCACTTAGTATATTTACACGCTTCCTTCAAACGTATTTGTAAAATATAATGTATTTTATTGATTGCATGGCAATTCTTTAAAATGAAATTTATTGAAATATAATGCATTTTTATTTATTTTATGGCAATTGTATTTATAAAATGATATTTATTGAAATATAATGCATTTTTATTTATTTTATGGCAATTGTATTTATAAAATGATATTTGGTGAAATACAATGTATTTTTATTGATTCTATGGCAATTGTATTTATAAGATGATATTTATTGAAATATAATAAATTTATTGATTTTATGGCAATTGTATTTATAAAATGATATTTATTTAAATATAATACATTTATTTAAATATAATACATTTATTGATTTTATGGCAATTGTATTTATAAAATAACATTTGTGAAAATAATTTTTATGTTTGAGGTATTAATTTTTGTTCGATTTTTATAGTGTTTTTAAACTTGGACAAACTCATCTCTCAAAGATGTTGCAGCAAAAAAACTAGCGACATTGTCTTCTAATAAAGAGATGTAGATTTCTTTGATATAAATGTAACGTATGAATAATTCCTTTATTTTGTGTCAATTTAACGTTACCAGTAAACACAGTCTCCTGGATCTGTCTTCCTCCAGTATGTGTTGATTTCAAAAGTTCTCCATTATCTGCAGGGCTTCCTGGACGCCACAGGTGGACTGAGGTGCTGAACTATACGAGAAATAATGACATGTTTAAACCCTGTATTTGGCTGATACGCATGTAGTCAATTGACAAAAGATTTATGAATTCAGGAGGTCAAATTGATACAAAATAATTGACAGTATACGTTTCAACATTCAACTCAAGATATGTCACTTCAACATTTTTTTCTCCTTCTGGTTCTGGATCAAGTTCGGTACGTTGCTGCATCCATGTACTGGCATATGTGCGACGGTTGGACAAGCGATGCTTCTATCCTAACAGCTCCTAGCGGATGCCAGGGCAGCCTTGATGCTCTTGATTGATGTCGAGTCTACGGCGGCATTGTAAAGGTGGTTCCAAGCAATTATTGTGCGTGGTGGAAAAATGATTGTTTACATTGCACTGTGTTACACTGAAGCAAAGTGAAACGTTGTTTTTTCTTCGTTAAATTCTTGTTACGTACCATTCTAAGGTTTTTCAAATTTTATATGTTTTCCTATTTGGCTCTTTACATAGACAAGACATAGCAAATAACCAACTAACAATATAAAAAGAAAAAGATACCAAAGCTAGCGAAATTAACAATAATAAATTTAATTATAATATTTATTGAGAATAAACATACCAAAACCAAATATACAGAAATGTAAACTATATTAACTAAATTACAGCAAGTGGAAAGTATAATACCAGAAAAGTACAAATATTAATTTAAACACTGATTTAAAAATTGTGTAAGTCTTATTGGGCTCCTGCAAGTATGGTAAGTCTGCCGTTCACAGTCGACCGTCTTATTTTTAATGAGGGAGTCAGAACCCTCCAGTAGAGAAAGGATGGAAATTTAATCGTCAGAGGGTATTTCTCTCTTTACGTAGTATAATAAAGACCATTTTGGAAACACATTTCCCCAATCAAGAGTGTTGAGGGTAAAGGATTGAAAGAAATAATTGGTGACGTCAAACACAAAAATAAGGTTGCATGTCAAGTCTCGTGGTGAACCAAAATTAGGTCAACACACAGACTATATCCCCCTGCTTAGGCTTTTACACATTAGTGTCTTTTTGGGCGAATCAAAACGATTAGGACTTACTGGTGACACTTAAACACTATCTTAAGAAACGTCTCATTAAAGTATAAATACCTACACTTGATGGTTCCGAAGACTGTTTTCTCAAGGTGAATTTTATGCTACTATACAAGTAGTACATACCTTAAAAAACAAATAAAAACTATTAAAAACTATTTAAAATCAAACTCCTTTTTATATTTTTGTGTTAAGAGATAATTATGTTAGATAGAATTGAAAATCTGAATGAAAATAAGATAACAAAATGAGTTCGGTAATGCAAATATTTCTTTGCGTTAACATTTTTATTTCATGATATATTTTCTTAATTGTTTCAGGCAAAACGGTATCAAGATCCTAGATGGTAATGTTTAATTTTTTTTAATTGAATTTTTTATGAACTTATATTTAGTATCAGGCAAACTTAAATTCTCGTTAATTCCACACCGGGGACTTGAATAAGCTACATTGCCTGCCCAGTTCTAATATCTAACCCTGGTGGTGTATCAGCTAGGGTTGCCAGCCAGGGTGGACTTTGATTTTAAAGCCTCTTCTTTAGGGAAGAAAACATAAGAACATACATAAAGTAAAGGTACTATGAGATTTCCTTTTATATTTCACTTTATTTCCAAATTGTTGACCAGAATCACAATGCACTTACAATGCACCAGCCCTATCCCAACAATCACTTAATTCACCAGCCTATTCCAACATTCACATTATGCACCAGCCTCATTCCAACAATCTCTTAAAGCACCAGCCTCATCCCAACAATCTCTTAAAGCACCAGACTCATCCCAAAAATCTCTTAAAGCACCAGCCTCATCCCAACAATCTCTTAAAGCACCAGCCTCATCCCAACAATCTCTTAAAGCACCAGCCTCATCCCAACAATCTCTTAAAGCACCAGCCTCATCCAAACAATCTCTCAAAGCACCAGCCTCATCCCAACAATCTCTTAAAGCACCAGCCTCATCCCAATAATTACTTAAAGCACCAGCCTCATCCCAACAATCTCTTAAAGCACCAGCCTCATCCCAACAATCTCTTAAAGCACCAGCCTCATACCAACAATCTCTTAAAGCACCAGTCTCATCCCAATAATTACTTAAAGCACCAGCCTCATCCCAACAATCTCTTAAAGCACCAGCCTCATCCCAATAATTACTTAAAGCACCAGCCTCATCCCAACAATCTCTTAAAGCACCAACCTCATCCCAATAATTACTTAAAGCACCAGCCTCATCCCAACAATCTCTTAAAGTACCAGGCTCATCCCAATAAGTACTTAAAGCACCAGCCTCATCCCAACAATCTCTTAAAGCACCAGCCTCATCCCAACAATCTATGACTTGAGCTGCCAAATAAATTTTGGTTTAACATAATAGCCTTCTTTTCATTACAAATGCTTTTAGATTCCGAATATTTGTTATTTAAAACAAAATCCATTTCTTTTATGTAGTCAACTATATAAAGGCATTAAATATTCCGCCTTGTAAATCTGATTGTCTAATCACTGTCGTGCTTCAGCTACCTTTAAGGCTAACCTGAGTGTATTATTCTCATGCTTGAAGGAGTGACGTCAACACCGTTGGTATGTTCATTTGGCGTGTTGTTGACATCGAATCCAAGGAAGACATGTTCTCCGGGGAATTCCCTGTCTGAATAAATGGAACTGGTTTATGAATCATCTGAATTAATTTTTTTTAATAAACAAGCCTCGCCTAATTAATGGTGAATAACTTAAAAGCGACTTTAGCACTGTACAATTAATGTACATATCTATGTTAGGTATTAAGTAGAAATACCATTAGTTTACCATTCTACAGTTTCAAAATTGTTTGTGCCTTTATATTATTGTCTACAATAATTACGATTATTTCTCTAAAAGTTGCTTTTTGCAAATGAGGCTGCGTACACATTTTCATCCTATAAAATCAGAAATGATTGGATGAAACAGATCCATTTTGGGAAATACTGTGAGACGAGGAAATGGTACAAGTGTAGAAGGAGAGAAGTGATATCGAAGCCTAATTTCTGCATGAGACCGTTCACATCAGAACAGAAACAGATAACATTTTTTCCAGTTTATAATAGACATTCATATCACTAAGGGACTGTTTAAGGTGTATTGAACCCTAGGAATACTTGAGCTTCCGAGGACTCAATTTGTGATTGTGGCAATGCGAATATGCAATATAATCGTTACTTTTTATTTCAGTCGCATTTTTTTTTCCGAACTGACATGTGCAATTTCTTCTAACGCCTTAGCTCAAAATCTAGTAAAACTAGTTGAATTTTTTTTCATTTAGTCTAATTATTTTGATAACATATAATATTAAAAAAAAAAAATCAAAACCGCTAAATTTGGTTCATCCCGAATCAAGTTAAGGGCTTATACTTCGGGTGCTTTGGGCCCTACCGTGTAATATGCTTAGGGTGCGTGTCAACCCAACACCGGCCATTTTTATTAATATCACTTACATTTCTTGAATGCATTCATAACTGAAATCTAGAAAATTTGCTTGGCAGATTCTTTTTTTCCTATTTGAAACCAGTATCTTAAAATACACAGAACCCGTATTCGGAAATTTGATCGAAAGAAATTTCGTCGACGGAAAATTGATCGACGGAACTTCGATCAAACGGAAATTTGGTCAAATCTTTTTTCAGTTCACACGTTAAAATTTTGCTTCAAAATTCTTTTGGAACGCCTTATTTTGTTTTGCTATATAGTATAGTGCGTTCAAAAAGAAATTGGACGAAAACTTTAACTTGTGAACTGAAATATTGATTCGACCAAATTTCCGTGCTATCAAATTTACGTCGATCAAGTTTCCGTCGACGAAATTTCTTTCGATCGAATTTTCGGTAACCCCCACTACCCATACGTTTTACTTTAAGTGTCAAAATCTTTGTTGACGCAGTGCTTATTGCTTCACTGAACTTCTAGACATTTACACGGGGTATTTCCGTTGTGAAATGTTATTGTGTTGAAGCAAGATTTTATGGACACGGTCTACCACTGTGGTTCTCAACTTTACCAATGCCGCGACCCTTTTACATAGTTAGTAAAGTTGTGACGACCCCCAGTCACAAAATTGTTTTCGTTGCCACTTCATAACTGTAAAGCATATGTGTTTTCAAATGGTATTAGGCGACCCCTGGGAAAGGGTCGTGCGACCCCCAAATGGGTCGCGACCCACAGGTTGAGAACCGCTGGTTTACAATGTCTGTGGAAAAATCTGTGCAGTCACGTTTAGGTCAATAAAAAAGTTCAATCTAAATGTGCTTCCTTGTAACCTGTACACAATATTATGTTCGGGATCAATACTTCGTGATCGTAGACTTTTAGCCGAGCAGAAAGAAAAGCTGATTAATGGCCCATAAAATGTATAGTATATTTAATGCGGGATATACCACGTGATTTATCTTTCACAAAAATGCGTGCTTAATTAATTTCTTTTAGTCAGTTTACAGCTCTTGAAAAAGTTCAACTTTGGTATCTTTTCAAGAGGAGCATAAATATATGTTTGTAGGTGTGTGTGTTGGTGCGTGTGTGCGACTGCAATCTGAAAGCATGTGGAAATTATTTTGTTAAAATTGAAAGGACTCGCATTTAAATACCCCTTTCTATGGTTCCAATCATATTCTTGTGTGCAGCTGTTGGCTGGCTGGTTAGTTTCTCTTCTTTCTCCGACAGAGTGGGATCTATAATAATAAAATGTGTGTTTGGATTATAACTATAATCTATCTAACTATATTCATTCCAGAGATTAAGCGTTCAAACATTTAATGGGAAGATTAAATAGTTTGAGTTAGGCCGATATCATCGAGTCATTGTCTATATTCCTTTTTAAAGGATTTCATTACATGAGCTAAATTAAGAATTTAATGTTTTATAGATGCATACAAGTACCATGAAAATTACTGGTACTTTTCTGAAATAATAACATCTAAATAGTATGTGTTACAATTTGCTTCTATTGATAGTAATCGTTGATGTAAAAACATTCATCTTAGTCAGATCAATTTTAAGTTTTACCCTCTGTTTGGTAGATACTTCAAGACCCTCATTACTGACCCTCATTACTGACCCTCATTACTGACCCTCATTACTGTCCATCATTAAGTTCATGCAAGTGACGTCAAAACATACCAGTGTGTATACAATACACATTGCATCTCTTATTGTCCAAATACACTTAAGTAGTTGAGTTACTGCATTGTGTTTGTTAAGAGTCTCTCTAAATATTTAAATTGTCCAACTTGCATGGAACTAATCATAGAACGTATTTCTTCTCACCTGAGGCATGTGTGTCTTTGAGCATCTGTGAATGATATTCAGTGGAAAAATAAATATAACAGGTTCATGTAATGTTTGTTATTGACGTGGTAATCATTACGTAAATTAATGGAAACAGAAGCATCTTAAAAGTTAATGATGAATATTTTTTTACATGGATCATTATATCCGTTGCCTTTTTTTAAAATCCCTCTTTAAAACAAAAAAATCACCATGACTAAGTTTAAATTTGTTAGTTTGCCAAGGTTGGATTGTTTTGAGGCATCCTAACATCATAGAAGCCTGAAATCTCATGCAATGGTTAATGTTGCAGCAAATTCGGATGTATCAAAGTCTTGGCGCACTAACATTGTTCCATTTTCTTATTTCTTTAAAATAAAATTATAAAATTTCAATTCTTGGCAATTTACTACACAAGTGCAAATGGGTCTTGGCCAAGATGAATGGGATGCATCAATATTAGAAAAATAGCTGGCATTCAAGGGTATTTATATACTGGATGAAATTACGACAACTACAACATTCAACAGTTGATTTGAATCACAACACATTTACGTTTGTCTTTATATATTAATGGGTGTAACAAGTAATTTTGAAGTAGCACTTTTATTTGTTTTAATAATTTCTTCCTATTCTTTATACCCATTAAAAAAAAAAAAAAAAAAAAAAAAAAAAAAACTAGACTCTACTTCTATCGCTTTATATTTCCAACAATTGCACTGAAATAAATTATGTGCTTTCTTCTCTATCGTCTTTAATATCACATCTTTGTCTTCTCAGATTTTTCCTCCCCTACCCCATAGTTTTCAGGGGATTTTTTTTTATGGCTATCCGTTTTACGAGTGTCTTAACTACCAGAAGCTTTATCAGGCACACTTAATGCAATGTTGAATGAGCCGAGCTTTCAACTTTTTTTGTTTCTTGATAATATCTTAAATAATGACACTCACCATGTTTACAAGTATCGCCATTTGATCAGTGTCGTTGATGCAGCACTGTCGGTGACCATCTCGGATTTGAATCTGCAATTTCCTGAAGATGGGATCATTTAAGTGTCCAGAGAAGGGGTCTTTGAAAAGTTTAGCACAGTCTACGCACACCGGCTCAAACTGAATTGGTGCTATTTCTTCTTCCACTACCTGTTGTAGCAAAAAGTAAGAAAAAGTGTCCTCCCATTCTTGTAAAAAGACGTGCCAGCTAGGCACGTAGCTCTTTACGAGTAATGTTGATGGATAATTTTTTTTTAATGCCTACATTGTGGCCAAACAGAAAGCCTGGTGTAATCAAATCCCCATTTCGCTTCAGTAAAAGTGTTGTGACTTTGCTTAACGTCTTTGACCTAAAAAAATATCAATAATAAGTAAAATAATTCTACTTGAATAACTACAGAGGCTGGTAAAATAATATATTTTAATTGAGCAATATTGAATTCATTTAAAGCGATATCCTTATATAATATATAAACCCATACATTTCTTATACTTACTGTTTTAAAAGTAGCATCTGAAAGACTGGGATGAGTTGTCAATACAAGAATTACGACAACTATACTAACAGTAAAACTTGAAATAGATATTCCACACTGCACTCTCCAATCCTTCAAAAGCCTATTTGAACAATTTTTAAATAGCTATTACATTAACCATATTAAATTATTTTAAAATCTATGCTTAGTAAAATTGTGTTAATTCTATTTTTCTTAAATTAAAAAAAAATATCTTCTTCTTTTTGGAAATTTGACAGATAGTCAATATTCAGTGAATAACGAAGGTCTAAATTTCGTTAAATGTTATTTACTTGAATATAAATAAAACATATTGAATTACCTTAATTTGACGAGTTCTGCCATTTGAACAACGCGGTCACACATTCTAACCGTGTGAATTTGACGTTTTCTTTAAGTTGATAAGCTGAACCGCAAATTTAAAAAAAAATGCAATCAAGTTACTTCGTAGGATTAACATTTCTTGAAATATCTTCTTTACAGTTAACATTTCTTCAACTATCTCCTGAACAGTTAGTATTATACTATTATTTAAGTTGATGGTTTTCAGTTTGTGATATTGTGTGGATTAAACAGTTGTAGCTAAAACAAATCTAGACAACGCAATGAACTGTAGTGTATTAAAATGGCAAAAAAAAAAAAAAAAAAAAAAAAAAAAAAAAAAAAAAAAAAAAAAAAAAAAAAAAAAAAAAAAAAAAAAAAAAAAAAAAAAGATAGTGAAATTATTAATTTGCAATCCAATAACATTTTAAAAGGGGATTATGAAACGTGTGTTTACCAAGCTTGGTCTAGATGCAACAATGTACGTAGACACTTTCATTTGAAAGCCTTCGTGTGTAGACTTTGGCTACTTGAAAGAGAATACATTATAGAACCTTCTACGCCTATTCAGAGTATTATATCTGATTTCGAAACATTTGAGTAAAATCATAGAGACTTATAGAAACGCAAAGGACTTCCTTAACCCTATCGAGTCAACATCTGATGTCAGTAAGAAATATCTAGACAAGCTGAATGACCCATTTAAAAACAAACACACTAAAACAATGTAAAAAAAAAAAAAAAGAAAGATTTATCTTTATTAGATTATGTTTAGGCTGACAAACGTGGTGACTCGTATAGGTATTAGCGTCCAAATGATGATTCGAAACTGTTGAAATATCTGTAAATACGTAGATTTAAACAAAGTAAGTTATGCAGACAACACGAAAAATTAAGAGGAGATGGAAGCATTACGGGGTTTGATCTAAATCAGTTTAATGTATAGGCTTTTCTCAACACATTTGTAAGCATAACATGATGGCATACATTCATTTCCCATATGTTTCTCATGAATCAAGTTATTCAAATGAAGAGGAAAAGTGGACAGATGCACGTTAAAAATATAGCGTGTTCATTTTTTTGTTCAAAATTTAAATTGATTTAAATGCTGTTTAAAATCACGAGTATTTTTTTTCAAAGTGTACATTATAGTGTTCATATTATACTTGAATGTAAGAACTAGCTCGTCTAGTTTACTAGCATTTGTGAATGTTCTATATTTGTAAATGCTTTATATTTAGTAAGTGCTCTACATTTGTAAATGTTCCATATTTTTAATGCTCTACATTTGTAAATGTTCCATATTTGTAAATGATCTATATTTAAAATTGCTCTATATTTGTAAATGCTCTATATTTGTAAATGTTCCATATTTTTAATGCTCTACATTTGTAAATGTTCTATATTTGTAAATGCTCTATATTCGTAAATGCTCTATATTTGTAAATGCTCTATATATGTCCATGTTCTGTATTTGTGTGATCATAATGTGTTTTTAACAAACGCTATCAACTACCTTATTCCTTATTTTACGCTAAGGGCGATGAGATATGATTTCTGGGTCTTTGCTAGGATTGTCTTTCTTGTCTGATTGGACGCCTGCCATTTCATGTCAAACGACATAATATCATTTAGACCAACTAGGCTGCTTTCACTTTGAGGGGCTCAGTACATTCAGCCTTCATACAAACATTTTTTTTTTTTTTACCAGCTGGACCGCCTTCAGTAAGTAACCTGTTAAAAGGATCGCTTATGTCACGCTGTATGATATAGAATACATTTTATGTAAATCATTATCATTTGCGGGAAGTATTTGTTATCTTTGATAAAGTCACATTATAAATGACACTGCGTTGTGTTTTGGCTCCACGGAGAACACAATGTTATATTTTTCGCCTTATTTTTATTGACTGCTATCTGTGACTTTTACGATGAATCACTCTCTTAGGGTTATTCTTGAATAATCACTCTTGATTGGTCGCTGTAATGGCTCAATGAGCTGATGTTTGAATCCTAATTGGTTAATACTATATTAAGGTGCGTAAGTCTACTCATCGTACTCACGCTAAACTGGTAGGACGCTAAAATATAGGTCTTTACAGGGATCCACATAGAGCAGTGGTTCTCAACCTTCCTAATGCCGCTACATTTTAATACACTTCCTCATGTTGTGGCGACTACCGACAACAAAATTATTTTCGTTGCGACTTCATAACTGTAGAATATGTGAGTTTCCCGATGGTCTTAGGAAACCCCTGCGAAGGGTCGTTGAGAACCGCTGACTTAGAGATATGGTGTGCAAAAAAAAAAAAAAAAAAAAAAAGTTGCAAGCATTACCAAAGGCGGCGGAGCCTATGCGTCTAAGTTATGCACAAAATTTAACAGAATATTGGTAGTCCTCTTCATTTATAACTGTTTTCTAAACAATGATATCTAGGCTGAAGACATGGCTTTTTAAATGTAAATAGCCCTAATTTTGTATGGTATTTTCAATAAAAACCACATAAACTATCATCTCGAGACATTTCATTTTTTTTTAATGTCCAGTCGACTCATCTATCAAATTTATAAAAAAAACTGATTTAACTTGCCCATTTAAGACAGAATTATAGCGTACACGGTAGAGGGGAAACATAAAAAACAAAAAAAACAAAATGCCAATGCGGCCGCTTAGGTGTGCATCCTTGTACCAAACATCCAGTTGTCTTCTTTCAGTAGTTATTAATATATTAGACATGATATATCCTTGTTTATGGATCTGCCTATAACTAGAAGTCAACACCGACATAATCAATCGACCTACCTCAAAGCTGGATGTGTCACAAATGAATCATCTAAGGAAAGAAAAAAGAAAGAAAGAATCGGAAAGACCCAAAATGACATTTTGACTTTAGTTTCAGTGTGCACGTAGATCAGAATATATATAATCGATTGTTTAAAAAAATCAAACTTTTTTTTTCCCTTTAAATTTTTAATGCATTTTATGACATTGCCTTCACGTAGGACTCTCCTGGAGCCCTGGCCTCCTCTAACACATCTAGTGACGGGCACTCGGCCAACAGATGCGCTGGTGTTTCTGGGACCAGGTTGCAATGCCAGCAGGCAGGTTCATTAAAGGGGTTCATTGAGGGCTGATTTTCTACGCTACAGAAATAATTGAACATATTTTGTGTTTAAATTGATATAGTTGTTTTATGTGAGGTCTGTATACATTGTGGTTTTCGTTATTTACAGGCGTATAAAAATAAAGTACCGCCCGGGGCGTCACGAACTTTAGCTACCCCACGTTAGATAGACGTTAAATGTTCAAACCTGGGGCCTAAATACTCCTATGAATTAATTTGAATTTCTAAGGACCTCTCTTAAAATAGTATATGTTCTCTGATAATTGTTTTTTTTACAAATATTTAAATGCAAAAAATTTTTTTTTGTTTTTTTTTTTTGTTTTTTTTTTTTTTTTTTTTTTTTTTGTTTTCGTTTTTTGATGGTGGTGTTCCTTTTTTTAAAAAACCCAATAAATACTTTTCAATAAAAAATGGCTATTTATTAAATTGTTTAGTTATAATATTACTAATTCTTCGCTGAGTAGCTATTTAATAAAAGGCTAGTTGAACATTTTTTATTTGAATTGGCTTCACATGTTGACATCGTTGGGCCCGACTCATCCTGAAAACGATATTTTTAGTAACCGTGAAAAATGGTTTTGTTTGGAGATGTATGTATACTTATGGCTGAACTGTACAAGTATCAAATAACTATTGACACATTCATCAATATTTAAAAATAGTTATGTAAATTCATTAAGTAATAAGGAATCGTGGTTTAAGTCGCCCATGCCAAAGCCAATGTGTTTAGTTTCCAGTACATAACGGCAAACTTAACAACGGGTGCATGAATAATGGCTTAGTCCCGACATTCAACGGGTCGGCTTGAGGGCGAGGGTGTTGTAGAGAATTTCTATCCCGTCATAAGCTCAGTTCATACGATCGAATTTGCGCCAATTTTTTTTCTTCAAATTTTCGTTAAATTTTTTGTAGAACGCACTATATTGGGTTCCAAAATAATAATGCGTTCACAAAAGAAATTTGACGAAAATTTGATCGTGTGAAGTAAACATAAGGCAAAATAAGAGGAGGGGCTGAGAATACCGGTACACTGCTAGTGTTGGGTTCAGAATGAGACGATATTCTTCACAAAAATTTTTTTTTTTTTTTTTTTAGCAATCAAATTCTGAGAGTGGTTAGTTAAGGTTGATTAGAGTTCGACCATCATTGTTTGAAACGCGTTTTAAAAGCATCATTACGTTTGCTACTGCCGACACGATAGATTGTCATATTCTTCACAAAAATTTTTTTTTTTTTTTTTTAGCAATCAAATTCTGAGAGTGGTTAGTTAAGGTTGATTAGAGTTCGACCATCATTGTTTGAAACGCGATTTAAAAGCATCATTACGTGTGCTACTGCCGACACGATAGATTGTCATGTATGAGCCAGTATTATTTAAAACAATGATCATGATTATTCGTCGATGAACTAGATTTTATGTGAAGATTTAAATGTTTAGTTTTAAAAAAAATGGCTGTATATAAATATAATTTAATCACTTTATTATTAATACATTTAAAAAAAAATATATAATTCATGAGTTGATGACACACCCCACACTGTAAATATAGTATATAACAAGTATCCATTTTCTATGCGCAAACTACATGCAATTGCAATATAACTGCAATGAAAGCAATGGAGAGATTATAAGGTGCACACTTTTTGTGTTGAATTGTAACATAAGCTGATTAATAATTTATTTGATATAATGGGAGGTTTAATTTTACTAGCTAACATTATTATTGAATGTTTTAATTCACGGATCAGACCTGATCCTGGGCATAATAAACTTCGCGTTTCTTGAAATCAGCGAACATGACTAATAAAAATACGACAAGAAACAGAGCATAGCAAATAAAAAAAAAAATAAAAAATTAAAACTCTTGCGATCTCCTTTGTTGTCTTCGGAAGTTCTGATATGTCATTCACATGGCTTGAATGCAGTACTTTAAATATATTCCTTTGTTGTCAGTATCCAGTGCTATATCCGTCAGAGTTATCGTCAGTATCCAGTGATGGATCCGCCCGAGTTATCGTCAGTATCCAGTGCTGTATCCGTCAGAGTTATCGTCAGTATCCAGTGATGGATCCTCCAGTTATCGTCAGTATCCAGTACTGTCTCCGCCAGAGTTATCCCTTGTTTTTTGAGTCAGAACCAAGCATTATCAGGCCAGCGTAAGTGGACTCACTTATTTCCACCACACCTGGATCAGAGACGCACACCTGTATGACATCCCCAGCGTGAAGGAAGAAAACTCCACCTGAAAATAACGGACACTTAAGATACATTTCAAAGTAAAAACTAATAAGAATTTCCCAATAAATTGTCGTAACCAAGTGACCAGTGGAACTTAAAAAAAAATAAACAAATGGGGCAGCCGGTGCACTTTACCGTGATAGGAATAAAGGGGCACAAGTTGAAACATCGTGGTGAATTTTATCAGTTGTCTTTCTATGATTAGTGTAATTCCTTATTCAATGAAGTTTAATTGAAGCAGCTTCCCTGGGTCGCATTTTGTGTGTGTAAGTGCCTGTGTGTGAGTGCGTGTTCTTTTCTTATAATTTCTTATTTTTTCTCAATTAACACTTTGAGATAAACAGTTGTATTTTTATTTAGCAATAAAATATTAGGAACTACATTCTATGTCAGAATTTCAAAGTAGTCTGTGTTCGGGGGAAAGGGGGGTATAATTACAAAGAATTTATATAATTTAACTTGTAATCCCTTAAATTTACTGTGTACTTCTTGGCATGGAATTTACTTTGTAAGTTAGTTAAAATTCTTAAATGTAAATAAAAAAGGACAGACTGCAATCAGGTTAGCAAAATGAAATTGAGTAAAACAAAGTATGGGAAAACGTGAAAAAAGGAAAACCATTAAAACCAAAAACGTGTCGGCAGGAAGCCTTCGTCAGCGAACAAACAATAGATAAAAAAACATAATTAAAAGCAGTTAGAAAAATATAACAATACATCAATATCGAAAAAAAAATGGGTTGATGAGTAAGTTGGTCTAATGGGTCTTTTCTAATTTTAAATTAAGATATTAATTCATACTGCAGTGTTTAAAAAAATATTTTGAAAGCTTGAAAATACATTTTTGTTGTTGATGGAAATTGTCGTTTCTTGTAAATATTAAAATGATAAGGATAAAGTCATCTTTGCAAACGAGAAGATCTTGAATCTTGGAGTTTCTTACACAAACTAAACGAGGCAAATGCCTCGCTATGCAGGCAAATCAACATCGATTAGGCTCAAGACGTTTATCAATCCTATCTGAGTAAATCATTTTTTATTATTTCTCTATCCGATACACTCGGGTGCATTATGATTCCAATACTGTTAGAAAAATTAGAAGCACATGTTTGAAACAAGGTTTTCTAGGGCCTGAAACGTTCGTCGTTTTGTTGCATCCTTTGATCAAGTTTGGCCACACCTCGTGTCACACATTTACAACTTTTTAAACCTGGCTGCGGTCTATCCCTCCAACCTCTCTTTTAGAAAAAAAAAATTAGAGTAAACTATCAGATAACGAATGGATCCAGGTAAAATATAATGCTCTTTTATTTATTGTTTCCATTTCCAGCTCATATTGTATTTTGATTTCTCTAGATTTTATATATCCTGAACTTTTTAAAGCATCTATCTTAAAATAAATAAAATCAGTAATTAATTTTTTAAAATAAACTAATAATAATTAAAATTGTATACACATTTTTTAATGTATTTTAATGTAATTTTAATGACGTGCTATTAAAATTTTTAGATTAATAATAGGGTAGGGTACATCTATATTATATTGCAAACATATTTTTCAAAATTAAATGACGTTATAACATTAAACATCAATGTAAGTATGCGTATGCTTAAAATGAAGAAAGTCTAATGAACTATTTCCGAAATAAATAATTCAAGGGCGAGGAATATTGTCGTACAATTTTCAGCTATAAACGTAAATATTTAATTGTTAGATGTTCACTTCGCTTTAGCTGGTAGAATAGATAGCAAAATGCCTTCCATTATTATCCCGGTAACATCGGGTCATATCTTCTAGTTTTATATGAATGGTTTGAAGAAGGATCTTTAAAAAATAAACAATGATACCAGTAAATGTTGATTCCTGAAAAGTCTTGCTTCCACTGTACTCAGCCTTTAGCAGGATCGTGTTTGAACGATCGTATGGACTTATGTGCTGTACATGTGTAGTATACTGTAACATAAACACACAACGCATTGGTTCAGTCATTAACTGTAAGATTAATTGATGTAATTAACGTTACATTATTATTTAGAATAACAAAATGCCCATGTAACAGCTTACAACATTTTTAGAAATATTACACACTTTAAAAAAATCTGTTACGAAATCATTAACTGGAAAAAGTATTTATATATGTAATAATAATAAAAAATACGTAAGTTATAGGTATGACAAAAAAAAAATATAACAATAGAAATTTAGCAACAAAGAGAAGTGCACTTCAAAAAAGTAGCATCCTCAATAATTACTATAATATTTGCTAAACTTGGCCAACTTACTCGGAATCACATAGTTTTGTGAGCGATCAAACTTAAAAACTGCGAGGAAGAATATATTTATAAAAAAGGGCCGTAAACTGGGTGGCATAACTCCTTATAAGAAGTGGATAATGTAACATTTAATACACATTTATTCCGTTCATGAATATATTTGCATCTGTTCCAGGAACAGATTTTAATGAGCAATAAAAGTTAAGATTTTATTAACATTGTAAGAAACAAATAATTGTCTTCTCGTAAAAGCGACATGTTAGAAATTCGACTTAAAGTCGTGATAACTGTAAAAAAAAAATGTTTTATTGAAACAGTTTAGGACCTGGGAGTGTAAATCAAGATTAACCAATGACGCAAAATGGACAAAAGTGTTTGTCTATTTATGGAATGTGGATCTTTGAGATCTACATTTAAGGCGCGTGATTTTGTGAAGGTGATGTGTAAGGGATCAAAAGCTCTCAAAAAAGAATTGAAAAGATAGCTACCAATGATTTCAGTCTTTGTATGTTGTATGCTGTATGTTTTTTGATGTGTGTTTTATCCTGAATGTTATATGCTGAATGTTGCATGCTGTTTTTTTTCGTTGTATCTTGTATACATGCACAGTATCGTATATGGTGATCTTTATACTATACACGGCAATAGTGATGCTAATAAAGACATATAGAGTAGGCTTAATCCATTTACGGGTGGACTACGCTATTCAGAATGTAGAGAGTTAAAATAAATGTAAAAGAACTATTCTATTCATTTCCATAGTAATAATATTTTTTAATATTCTTGTTTTATATTGCTTACTTTGCCAAAATCTTTACACTGACAATTAAAAATAGTGTTCGACATATAAAAACAGAAGCCAATTCTGTGACAGTTGAAACGGAAGCCCATTCTGTGACAGTGTTTAGGAAAGAAATAGTCATTTGATTATTACAGTTTGTTTCAATCATACTTACAGTTTTCAGCTGTGTGTCAAGTTTGGCTGATATGAAACGTATGCTGCTGTAAATGTAATACATTCCTTTGGCCAAAAAAAAGAAGAAAAAAAAACAGCACATACGAGTAACTTTTAAAAGGAATACTTTTTTTTCAGCATCCTCCAATTTACAATCTATCACTCAAATAAAAGTGCAACATAGATTTCTTTTTTTTTAAAAGTTAGTTACTGTTTTTAAAAAACAACTTAATTTAACAGTTCTACGTTGACCACATTGACCCCCAAAATGCATTGTTCGTTAAAATGTTTAGGGATCGTTGTCTAGTTTCTTTTTGCTGTTGTTGTAAAAAGCATAATAAACCAATTCAAATTTGCAATATCTCCCGTGTTATAATTGTGTGTGCTGTCACCAAACAACATTACGGAACGAATACTAAAAAAAATTGACCTCAACTGTAATTTACTATAGAGATGTAGGCAAAAAAACAATTTAAAGAAATCGGACTTATCATATACTTTAACACTCAATGTTAGAGATACATAGTTGATGCAAATCTTTGAAGAAAACGCTTGAATCGCATATATATAACGTGTCATAGTGTGTCATTGTGTACCATAATGTGTCACAATGTATCGTAGTGGGTCATGGTGTATCATAGTGTGTCATAGTGTGTCATAGTGTGTCATATTGTACCATATTAAGTGTGCCATAGTGTGTCATGGTGTGGCCAAGTATGCTAACATTAATACCTGTATACTGGATGACCAGGCCATGTTCCATGACGGCTACCCCATTGGCGTGTTCATTCACTGAGTTGTTGATGTCGAACAGGAGATAGCTGTGACGTTCAGATCTTGCTTCTACATCAAAGTAACATAAATGAAAGCAGATGAAAGTATTTTCTTGTCAAATCTGTTCAAATAAAAACACCTTTAAAAATGTATAGAACTCGAGTCACATACTTACTCTAAAAAATGTAACGAATGACAAACATTTAAACAGTTTTAACATTCTAAAGACACCAGTGGACCTTCAACCATCTAAAAACCTCAAGGATTATTACTTGATGTCACATTTAATCGTTTTAAAATTCGGAAGGTGGGAACTCTCGAGAACGCAAATACGTAGACGAGGCTTTTGAAATACTAGCGTGCCTTTATTCGAATTACTTATTAATTCATTACAAAAACTAATATATATATATTAGTTTTTGTAATGAATTAATAAGTAATTCGAATAAAGGCACGCTAGTATTTCAAAAGCCTCGTCTACGTATTTGCATATATGTATAAAATTAAACTAATTATAATTTCCCGGGTGGATTTTGCTTGTCCAATCCACTCTCATTGCGCATAGTGTTGCGCTCCCATTTGCTGCTTTTCCCGTCGTGCGACTATAATGCACACAAAAGGACATCTAGATTTTCAACTTTGATGCAATGAGTGATTTTACTTTAAAGGAACAGAGAGTAAAATTGGATTTTGAGTCACAAAAATAGGATGGACAGTATTTTACTCGCGCAATGTGGCTGCGTTTCCCCATGTGGTAGATATAAATTATTAAAAACATAAGTTATCTTCTTTTAAAAAAAACAACAACAGGTCGTTGAGTTAAGTTTTGAGAATTTACGTCCATGTACATTCTAACAGAACTATTGTTATTGATGAAGTTTCTTTTTTAACACCACTCTATTTAATGATTATCGATGGTTTAGATTCCAGACGATTATAAATACTTAGCAAAACAAGATTTCATAAAATGTAAGACGAGAATATCATTATTGCGGAATTAAAATCGAGAAAGTCATCAAAATTTAACTCAAATAAGCTCCCGCAGTTACTTAAAGGCGTAATCTGTTATTTACTTAATTTAAAAAAGTTTTTAAAATTAACATCAACGGGTTCTGAGGGTCCAAATTGGAAAGTTGGAAAACATTCATCGAAGAGTTTTTCTTTCTTATTCCAATAAAGGATGTCATGACCAAGGATTAGCATACGACATTTACTTAGAACCATGTTCAGGTTGTGATGTTTAGATTTAAACAAGTATGTACCTTGTCCTGGTTCCCAATGCTAAAACTCCAGATAAGCCACTGCTATTTGTTTAGCCGATAGGCAAAGTAAAAGTGTATGAAAGGCATGGCGTAAAAAATGATTTTTTTCGACCTCAGATGGTACACATTTTCAAGGATATGTGACTTTCATTTTCTGATATAGTACAATAGTTCAGATTCTAACAATGGGCGTGATCAAAATCTGATTGGTTTAAAAACAGCGTCAACTGAAATGTAATCGTTTGTTTCTTCCTTTGCTTGTTTGTTTGTTTGGTAAAGGGGAGTTTTATTTTAAAATGGTCCTGGAGGGGGGTAGGGTTGGAAAATAATGTGGCTGACTTAGAATCAACCCCCCCCCCCCAAAAAAAAAAATGTGTGTAGAAATTTCGGTGCAACAACAAGAATTCGATGCAGCAAGCTTTGGATTCGGGTCAGTCATGACTTAATGACAAAGCTATCGTATATACTGAGTTACCTTCAATGTCTTACTACAGTCTTGTTTTGAATGTTGATCTTGAATGAAATCAACACGTTGAACACATTTCGGTGGGTAGGCAGAGTGTCTTAAAGTGTCTTTGGTATAATTTTATTAGTCACACCAGTAAAGCCAGCAGTGTATCGTTAAAGTCAGTGTTAAAATTGTTTCTCGATTCATTGCCGGTCTTAGGGTTACCTTAAAAGTAATGCCTAACTCCACGCACTGTGCTAGCATTAGGAGTTTCCCGGACTTTCGTTTCTTAGAACACGACATTATGTTCACTCAGCTGCCTCAATAATGCACTTGCATATTAGAGGTCGCTATTTGGTGTTAATTTTGAGCATGAAGCTGTAAAATCCAAAACAATATCGAAACCTTATAATAAAATGGCGGTGAAGGTGTTCCACACTCTAAATATAAATGTGTTTTAAATCACGGAATCACTACCATTTTAAAGGTTTTTAAAATTTAACTATCACATGACTTACCGTTTTTCTTGGCTCCGAAAAGATATTTGTGTGCTGCTATGGGTTCGGCTAGAACATTCTTTTCAGCTTTGGGTGGAGTCAGTTCTGAAATGTTTCAGTCTATTTAAAACAGTGCAATGTAGCGAGAATGGCGGATCAATTTTATCCCATTTTGTGTCCCCATTTTAACAAAAATGAATAAAAAAATCTCTTAACTTTAAAGATTAAAAAAAAAAACTCGCAATTCCTCACAAATTAATATTTAGAGAAAAAAATTATTATAAAAACTGAAACAAAACAAAACAACAAAACATCGATTTCTTAATGACATGTGTATGTACACTTATACATTTTTGAAAATTTGCCTTGTCTTACCTGTCTCATTATCTTTTAGGAACTGCAAAATAAAATTATACATTAAGAAAATGTTATGATTTTTATGATTATTATTTTTTATTTTTTAAATTACATTTAATTTGACAATTTTGAGAATGTATCTATTGTTTTGGTAGATAAAATAAACAAACGTCCGACTCACGGTGCCGACGAGGAGCTCCAGCTGTTGGGTGTTGTTGATGCAGCAGACACTGTGGCCATCCTTAAATTCAACGTACAGCAGTTCGAAAAGTTCCTGTTTAGATTTAGTCTTATAAGGGTCTTGGATCAGTTTGCCGCAGTCAAGACACACAGGCTCAAAACTTAGTGAGACCACTTCGGGAATCTAATATAAAAAAATAAAAAACAGACAAAAAAAAAAAAAAAAAAAAAAAAAAAAAAAAAAAAAAAAAAAAAAAAAAAAAAGTTCCTGTTTAGATTTAGTCTTATAAGGGTCTTGGATCAGTTTGCCGCAGTAAAGACACACAGGCTCAAAACTTAGTGAGACCTCTTCGGGAATCTAATATAAAAAAATAAAAAACAGACAAAAAAAAAAAAAAAAAACCATCAACACACATACACAAAAAATTCAACTTAATTTGTTAATTTAACTGAAGTTTAATTATAGAACGTTAATTCTGTTTAATGCCAGCATCTATATAATGTTATTCTAGCTTGAAATTATCCTAAGGCTTATCATACGTTTAGTCATCATTTTTGTGTCCAACTATTCAGATGGTGATATATATATATGTTTGTGTGTGTGTGTATTTGCTTTTTTAATATTATTTTTTGAAAGTTTTACCCGCTATTGTACTAGAGTTAGCATGAACTCGACCCTGTTCTCAGCACTGTAACTAAAACTACTCTCCTCCTTTTATGCAAGAGTAAAACAATAATCTTAGGTGCAGGTCATGTCAGTATAAATACATACATTGTTCTCGTCAACATCACTGTTTGACTCGGATGTCAGATGTGTGATGGTTGTGACCATGTTGGCAACACATATTAAAAATCCAACCAAGGCGATGCCGAAGTGTATCTTGCGATTCTCCCAAAAGTTCCTGTTGTTGTTAGAGAACACATTTTTTTATCATTTTTAAAATATTCTTTAAACTGAATTGAGAAGACAATTTCTAAAAGTTAAATAATTCTGTCATTGACATTGGTTCATACATGCCAGTAATATAGTGTTATGAGAAACACAGCCATGACTAACAAGGCTTTCAATAAATTCTTTCAAAGTTAACTTGTGACACAAAAAATAAAACTTACATGATCGTTCTGTTTAATTGTATGGATGACAAAGGTTTGCGCTTAAATTTACTTCTGATCCCTTGTCCTTTTCAGGACGGTCAATGGGTAATAATAGAGAGTGAATACAGTGTTGATTTAGCTTTTTCGTGGGTACAACATGTTATATTAGATTAAAGGTTTTTATGTATATGTCGTTGGTGTTTTAGTTTAATTTAACAATTCCAGCCGGGCTTCAGATCTTTAGCTGTTTCGTGGCTCCCGTACAACAAAGACATTCAATCAATGACCACCGACATCCTATGCTCGACACGGCGAATTCTGATGGGGCAGTGAGCATCTTGTCAATTTTGTTTATGCTGAGTGACACGTTGAGTCCTTACCACTGACCAGCTGTTGGGAGCAAACATGAATCATATATTATTATATATTATATATGATGCGATTTTAAATTGCAGTACACACCTATAACAGAGGCGAAGCAGGCGGTGAAAACAATTGGAGTGACAATAATTCTTTAAAAAAATAACTTAAGTTGTAGAATGTCAAACGAACAAATAATTCAAAATAATTTAACTTTCGGACGAATGTCAAAATAAACATCCTATTGAGTGTAGTTATCAACACAAAGATATGTTTTATGATCTTTAATAAAGAGCCTTGTCATTTTTTGTGTATGTGTGTGCTTTTAAATTAATTTTTGGGGTCACAAAACGTGGTCAAATAGCATTCCGTCCCCAAGTTTCCGAAATAATGTACATTATTAAGCATAAAAGAATTGACAATGGCCAGAAGGTTTTTATTTAACAGAAATCATAATGATAAGTAAATCAAAATATTTTTAAAATGTAATTGAGCGTAGGTATAAAAAGCGAACACAGCATAGGAATCGAGAGTGGCTCAACCAGCTCATAAATGATCATAACGTCGCCGATACATTCCAGTCGTCTTTGTGTTCTATATCCTTAAACAGGATTGATGCAACACAGCCTGCTCATGCCCACAAATTGGCCAGAATACTTATCGGGACAAGAACTTAAAAATTGGGGTACATAGGTTAGATAAAGGGTGCATGGCATCCTCCCCAGATGCATCCGGTCTAGGTACGCCCTAGAATCTCCGACTAGAAGCTGAGGACGCTCTGCAGTAAGTTTCATGATGTGTTTACGTAAAGGCTATTTTTTTAAAAATATTAACTGGCAAAATCTTCGGATGGCTAATTAACCCACTTCCCGTCAACCTATCGAGCTGAAACTTGGCCACATAGACTCGTTGCCGATGACAACAAATTTCAAATTACAGCAACACCCACAACCTTCAAAATTTTTTTTCTTCCCTGCTGTTGAAGGGGACGATGGTGAAATATGATGCCACTTATATCAGTAAATAAAATTCCAGCTAAATGCACTAAAATGAGATTATTAAGCAAAATATCGCACGTGTATTTGGTGCGTAATATTTTCTTTTAGTTTTCTTTCTTGTATTTACTTGTGGCTGGGTGGCAAAAATCTGGAGACCGCCAATTGACCCACTTTCCGTCAACCCATCTAGCTAAAACTAAGCACAAGGACTCGTTGCCGATGACAACACATTCTATTGAAACCGCATTTAATAAAGAAGCATTGAATACAAACAATATACTGAAAGTACCGGCCTCTCCTCCCACAAACGCACCCCCACCCCATTGGAAAATTAAAACTTGTTGACAATGCGAGCCACTATAATCAATACTGGAGTGACCTATTTCAACCAGCAGGTAATATTTTAAAGCGTAAGGTAACATGGGGAATCTCCGCACCGTAACATGGTTGTACGGAACAATATCATAAATACCTTACAGAAGGCTAACAGAGCCATAGCTGTGTAGTCGGTGACAACACTAAAGTAAGGGCTTTGCTTTGATTTAATCCATGTTCGCCATAAAAATCAAGTTCAGAAAACATTTGGAAGGCTCGAAAGATAATATTTATGATACCGATTTTATATCTTAAACAAATTTTGCATGTGGTCTTCTACCCCTAAGATTAATGACTGTTTAATCATCTGTTTCAAGTATGAAATATAGAGCGTGTATGGTGACTCCCTTGTGTGGACATTTTCGCTTTTATTGGGTTGTTTACATACAAGGAAACACAAGACTTATCGCAGAAGCTATTTTTTTAGGATTCATTTAACTTGTCCTAAAATACATTTCCCCCACGAATAAACGATTTAACTTATCCAACAACTACATTGTCCATAAGTTTAAAACAAAAATAATAATTTGCTGGAAATAACCAGCCAAACAATTGTGGTGGAAATGCATGAAGATTCTTATCTACTAAAATTACTTGACAAACCCGCATTCAAGTAGACCACTTGTTTTCCAATGATTGCTTGATTCTTGGAATTTTTATTTTGCGCTACTATTGATCACATAAATACATACCAAGAGAGTTATTATTTGTGAAGAGCCTAGATACATTTCGACCCACATTTCGACAAAATGAATAACGCTCTTGTACAGGCCCGCACAACTCAAAATGTAAGGTGGGCCGTAATACTTTATGAAAAATTTGTGCGGGCCAACAGAAAATAGGACATGACCTGTGTGGGCCAAACAAACAAAAAAATAGGGTAGCGGGAAAAGCTATACATAAAATAATAAGAATAAGGAATATTTCGTTACTTCGTGGGCCACAAAGTGGGTTCTGGTGGGTCGCACGTGGCCCGTGGGCCGTATGTGATGCAGGCCTGCTCTTGTGGATGGACATTTTTGTAAAATTATTATTAGTTTTATAATAGAAACAAAATTGAAGTTAAACACTGGTACGAACACATAACCTTGACCTTTTTTTTTCTATGCAACATGACCGTGTCTTAACTGTAAACTAGAATTAAGGAAGTTCAAAAGGTCTATGATATGAAACCTATAACATTTTAGACCGTCTGCATGCAGTTATTTTCTTCACCACTCAAGACGTAAAACAGTTTGATACATGACTCTGATTTCATGGTATGATTAATTCCTACTCTACCTGACGTAAGCTGCACCTTGTATTAAATCTTCTGTACGTGTGCAGTGTTGCAGGAAGGGTGACGTGGGGGTGGGGGGCGGTATATTTTTCTTTGCATACAAGGTTGGCATTTTCAAGCAACTGCAGCCGAGTTTTGTTCTTAGTGAAGGCGTCGAAAACCTTGACCCACCCCGGACGGCACTAACCCTTGCTACGCCACTCTATTTTTTTGTTTTATTTGTTAACACTGCCAGGTAACTTGCGGGATTCTATGATTCTTTCCCGTGTATAGAGTGGTGCGTCATGAGAGTTAGTTGAAACGGCGCATCGTTGTATCGTAACAAATAAGTTCTCAGTACTTCTATTTCAGCACGGTGGTAGGCTATTCCTATGTCAATGAAATATTGTATGGCAGTGCCTAAGACATGGGGGGGGCTGGTCGCTAAGGCCCTTCTAGACATACGCATGGTAGTTATTTGCGTATGAAGTACATAAAAAAATTAATAGCTTTTAACGAAAAGAGTTATTTCGCCAAATGTTTCAAGGAAAGGCCGGTACACACATATATACACAAAGGCATATACACACAAAGATATATACATACAAAGACATATACATACAAAGACATATATATACAAAGACATATACATAGACAGACATATACATACAAAGACATATACACACAAAGACATACACACAAAGACACGCATACATACAAAGACATATAAATACAATGACAAATGCACACAGACATACACACACTAAGACATATTTATACATACAAAGAAATATACACAGAAAGACATACACTTACAAAAACATATACACACAAAGACATATACGCACAAAGACACACACACATACAAAGACATATTTATACGTACAAAGACATATACATACGGAGACATATACACAGAAAGACATATACACACAAAAACATACACACAAAGACACACATGCAAAGACATATACACAAAGATATATACACACAAAGACATACACACACAAAGACATACATAAAAATACATGTACCTACAAAGACATATACATTTCAATACCGAAACTATAAACACCCACGACACATTCAAAGAGCAAAGAGCCCCCCTTTCATTATACATAAGCTAAACTTTCATTGCTTCTACTAGGGTTTGATTGATGACATAATAACATTGTACATTTTAATTGGAAACCTTTAAGCGCCTGCATATAGAATACATATATTAATGTAGTAATGGTATTTAAAAATTCAACATGTCATCGACCTCTACAAACCCTTGACAGCATAGGATGATCAATTATTATATATATTACTATTTTAAGTAGCCAAGTATCACATTTTATAAAATCATTACATGAACGAGCAATTAGTTTGTTATGTAAGAGTAAGATCTATTTTAACTTTAAGTATGCTTTATGAAGTCAGTGTAACATGTTGCTTACCGTAAGGGAATATCAAGTTATGACTCATTTATATAGGCACCTAGAGTTTAAATCCAACATTGTAAGACCACGAAGAGTTATGGAACTTTGGGCCATTTTAAACCATGCAAACATGTTCTTGACGACGCTGATCTTTCAGCGTACAATGTTTCTTTGGATTGAATTTAGGAGTAGAAATTTCCGATTTTATTTTGTCTTGCTCTCCCCACCCAACACATTTTCCCACCTCTCCTTCTAGCTTACACTTTCTCAAACTTTCTCTCTCTCCTTCTGCTCTCGTTTTCTTTTTTCCTCTTCTTATTATTCCTTTCTCTGCTCTATCCGCATTTCACACCTTTTCCTTTTCCAACCATTATATTAATTTATTTCATTGCTTTGTCTCATCAATTTATATAGTTATTTTATCCCTTTACTATAATCTCAAAATTTTATTTTAACCATAAATCATTATTATACCGAATTTTATTTTTCTCTTTACTTTTTCGCATTAACATATAATCTCATTAGTGTGTTTTATTAATATGTATTAAAACGTCTACCAGGTGTGTTAGCCCCCGTGTATAACATTGTTGTCTCGAAACATTGGGATCAATGTTTAGTTCAAATAAAATATAAGTCTTATTCATTGTAAACAGGTGCTCAATACTTGACCCCTTCAAGCACTGATATATCTACGCAAAAGTTTGGCAATTTTTGTTTATAAAATGCGATGTTTTAGCAATTTGTTTCTGAAACCCTTTACAACTGTTATGTCTGTTGACAGAATTTCTTGTAGGGGTCGTTGGAAAGCGTCTTTGTTGTAAGTGCATTTTTTGTGCCAAATGCAAAGACTTGAAGAGAATTCACTGCTTAATTCCATGGGATAAGGGTTAACTAAATTTTATTTAGTTATTAGGATAGGGCTTATATTTAAAAATATAATAATCTTTCAAAGCTAATTTCATGTTTAAAAAAGGAACATCTACGGGTTCTGTGACCACTATCTAAGAAACGCTGCAATGTGTGTGTATGTATGTGTGTGTGGACAATTGTGAGCGTGTGTCTGTGTGTGTTTGTTTGTAAATGGGGTAGCTAAATAAAAATTGTGAAGACTAAATGTAGGCCTACACATCTTTTTTTCATTTTCTTTTTACTTTTTTACTGAAGGTAACCTTAGTTCATCCCCCCCCCCACCCCCCAAAAAAAATTTCTTAACTGGGTGTGTGCAGATGCTTTGAAAAGTTTTTTAAAATACAAATAATACTAAATTTATTCCCCTTACCCCATTAAAGATATCTATCGGCCGTAAAGTGAAGATCGTAAAGAGAAGAAGCCATTTGCTAATCTGGAACAATTACTTTAACATTTGTTTAATCATTTATAACAAACACAACAACAATTTGATCACAAGTTTTCGCTTATACCTTTTTTTTTAAAGGAAACACTCATCTAAAAGATAATATTAGTCAATATCCTTTTTGTCGTTTACAACAATTTTAATTGATCTACTGGATAAATCGAAATGCAAAACATTTTCTTTTAATTCATAGCTTAAATAATATTCTTTTGTAGTTAACGTGTTTTTAAGCATTTTTATTTCAAAAATAAAAGCTGTACCACTTAAAGCAATAGTATTTAAAAACAATAACAACAACAACAACAAAAAACCAAAAAAAAAACAAGCAACAAATTACTTCAATTTCTATTTTAAATAATTTTATTTAGAAGTTGAAATAGTCTTGCAACATTGTTCCGGTAGATAGCTATCTTTAACGATTATATTATATTACAGATTAAAATAATCTCTGTAAAGATTATTTGTAATCAATTTGCATTCTTTTTGAAATTTATGTTATCATTTTAAAAAAAAGATATTTCTTATTTTGTATCATCGAATTATAGTAAAAGGCGCACTGAAATCTGCTATTGAACTTGTAAATTAAAATACTCTGAAGCTAAACAGCTTTAGGCGAATGTGACCCCCTGGACAAGACAAGCCCGGTTGTTTAAGTCAATTTCAACCAGGCATCAATGTTCGGCGACTGGCCAGTAGAAACAATCCTATGAACGTAGACTCACTTTTGTAGTCGACGCTGTCTGAATCGGTCACAACGACTTGTATTATGTCATGTTCTCTTAAGAAGAAGACACCACCTGCAAAAATAGTGAAGTCAATTTAGCCATTAAGATTTTTTTTTTTCTTTATAGAAATACGAGGCAAATTGTTTGATAATATTTATAAAGAGAATAATACGACAACACTAGACACATTTGTGTCTATTGCCTCAAGCCTTCAAACCCCTAGTGCATAATTTCCTCATCACCACCAGTAACAGAAACATTGCAAATCCCATCTACATGCATAGGAGCCAAAATGATCAATAAATTGATCGTGGGCCCTTAAGATATAGAAGAAGAAGAAGATACGTCTTCTATCCACAGTTATACCTTGAAGACCATGATGCTCTGACGTTTTGTAACTTTATAATTTAAACAGTACCATCTGAGTCTTACAAAGTATAAGTGTTTGCTTTTTAAAAAAAGAAAAAAGAAACAAACAAATCCTTAGAAACTTTTAAGAATTAAACTTGTATTTCCGATAATTAATATTCACTACTCAATAGTTAAAGAGATGTCTGCTGACCCATGAATGTAGTGTCCTTAGAGCTCTTTAATCCCGTGATGACAGATTTCAGAAGCACTCCAGTTCTTTCAGGTTCTCCAGAATTTATCCTGTGTAAAAATGACGCGTACTGAAAAAAAGACACAGTTATCAAAATTGTTTTGCTAAATTTTTAATTAAAGAAAATGAACTTTGCGAGACTGTCATATTTGAAAAGAGACGCAATTAGGCAAGAAGACACGTAATCGTTATATTTTCACAAATCACTATTGGTCACGGAGACAAGATGTTGGTACCTTCTCAATGAAATAATGTTAACGCGGCTGTTGTTATATTAGATCTTTATTTCAAGTTCAATAAATTTATTAAAAAAATATTGATTTGTTTAATTTTGGATCTTTATTTTATCCCCGATTTTCATGTTGTCAAAAGATCTTGGTATATTACATTATTATAACATTTATATTCAACAATTATTAGGTTTATTATGTTCTATGAATGTGGGATATTTTAAGAGGAGGTGTAAGAAATCAATCACCTCTACAAATACTTACACTTTTTGTTGGCGAGTTAATATCAGTTTGGCGAAAGCGAATGCTGCAGTAGATGTAATAATGACCTTGAAGAAAGAAAATGAAAATTTCCATCTTTATATGAATATCGTTGAAGCAGAGTAAGTTCGGTGTAATAATAACATAATTATAATATACTTAAGGTTAACTGTCATGATCATCATCAGTGGCACTACAGCGTTGAAGGAACTATCCTGCTCCTCCCACATCCTTCCATTCCTAAGTATCCATGACTTTTCATCTCCACATTGAGTTGACGTAAACGACTCAACAATTTTTGGTGTTTTTTGTTGTGTCTTTTAATTTACTGAAGTCTCTGGGCTGCCAACCTCCTTAAAGATTGAAACCGCTCTTCTTACCAGAGAACTTGATGATAAGACTGTTCTGGGTCACGGTCAAACCATGGGAGCATTCATTCGGTAGATTGTTTACAGCGAAATTTAGGTTGCTGGTGTTCCCAAGGAACATGGAATCTGATAACGAAAACGATAACAGCTTTAATTTGGATTTGATAGTGATTGGTCTGTCTCTTTCCATTTAATATAAAAGAACATTGAAAATATTTTCCATACGAAACATATTTGAAATAATTCTTTGGTCTACATATTTAACTGTCCGCATAAATTCCCATTTTTTGCTTAATAATACAACATACCTTAAATAAATTATTGTAGAAACTTGTGGTTTTCTATAATTTAAACTCATTTCATAAAATTTAAAAGTTGCACCAGAAACTAGGTCACAGCATTTCATTCAAATAAATCTAATATGACTAATATGATATTAGTCTTAAGCCTTTGCAAGCACACACACACACGCGCGCGCGCTCAAACACGCACGCACACATACACACTCACACACATATATACACAAACATAGACTAGAGACCGACCGAAAGTGATTTTCTGGTTTCGGCTGAAGCCTATTTTCCGAAACCGAAAAAAGGCCGAAAGTTAAAAATGACTTTCGGCCGAAGCCGAAACCGAAAATGAATTATTTAGATATTTTGAAATTCGTTCCCGCATACATTCTGCATACATCGAAATTGATGGGGGAAGTATAAATATTTACATTCTTTTTATAAAAAAATGAGATAATCTTGAATATTAATAAATACACATCCAATATAACATCTTGTTGTTAAAGATCGTTTAGTTTTTTGTTAATAATCGCTTTATTTGTTGTAAAGATCGGTTAGTTTGTTCATGAAGATCGCTTAGTTTGTTGTTAAAAATCGTTGATTTTGTTTTTTAAAATCACTTAGTTTTTTCTTTAAGATCGCTTAGTTTTTGTTTAAAGATCATTTAGTTTGTTCAAAAAAGATAGCGAAGTTTCACTTAAAGATCGCTTAGTTTGTGTTATTAAAGATCGTTCAGTTTGTTCATAAAGATCATCGATTTTGTTCTTAAATATTGCTTAGTTGTTCTTAAAGATCATTCATTTTGTTCTTAAATATTGCTTATTTGTTCTTAAAGATCATTCATTTTGTTCTTAAAGATCTTTTAGTTTGTTTTGATAGATCTTTTAGTTTTTTATTAAAAATCGTTTAGTTTGTTCTTAAAGATCGTATATTTGTTGTTGAAGATCTCTTAGCTTTTTCATAATGGTCGCTTAGTTTGTTCTTATAGATAATTTATTTTGTTCCTTAAGATCGATTAGCTTGTTCATAAAGATCTTTTAGTTTGTTCCTAAAGAACAATTAGTTTTCTGTTAAATATCCCTTAATTTATTCTTATAAATTATTTAGTTTACTATTAAAGATCATTTGTTTTGTTCTTAAAGATCCTTTAGTTCGTTCTCAAAAAATCGCTTAGTTTGTTCTTTAAGATCGTTTAGTTTTTTTTAATTAAAGATCGCTTAGATTGTTCTTAAAGATCGCTTAGTTTGTTTTAAAGATCGTTTAATTTGTTCTTAAATGTCACTTATTTTGTTGTTAAATATCGCTTTCGCTGACTATTAGATGACGAAAAACCTCAGTCACTTTCGGCCGGATGGCCGAAACTCTAAGTCAATTTTGGTCGAAACCGAAAAAGACCGAAAGTTAACTTTTCTCTTTCAGTCGAAACCAAAATTAAGCCGAAAGTTAACTTTCAGTTTCGGCCGAAACCGAAACTTGGCCGAAAGTGATAAAATTGCCACTTTCGGCGCCGAAACCGAAATTCGGTCGGTCTCTTATACAGACACGCATACACACAGAGACACACACACATAGAGATACAGACACACACACATACACAGACGCAGACAGAAACACACACTCCTACACACACCCAGATACACACAAAGACACAAACATATGGTTTTCTGGAATTTTCCGTTAGGACTTACTCTTTGTTAAAACTCTTAAATTAAAAGTTATTGATGTAAAAAAAAAACAACAACATCTAAATGCATACAACTCTTGTTTTGTAAATCCAGGGCCGTCCTTTCAGGTTTTTTCAGAGTGTGGGGTGGGGGGGGGGGCAAAACCTTGTCGGCTTAAGTTGTTCATTACTGGACGCGTCATAGTAAATAGCAATTTAAATAAAACCTTCAAATTCAAGGGGGCATACGCCCCACGCCACCCTACCCTTTTCCGAGGCTTGAAACAAATTCTTGTGGGATGACACTGTTTGAGTTGGGAAAGCTTTTTCAGCCCCTGTGAACGTGAATTGTACATTAATCTATATCTTTATCTATATCTATATATCTAATTGCATAGAAGAAAGCCATTTAAAAAAAAAATCATCGCGGTCGTCAAATATTTTAATTTTACTTTACTGAAATCCAAAAAATTTAAACCGAAATATATATTTTTATTAGGTAATAAGATTATATATAAGCCATAAAATGTAACATTACAAATGATAAATACTGTTTTAATTGATAGTCTCTTATCCCGCTATCTTTATTTTATAGACTTCATATCAAATTATCATTTATAGATATATTTACTATTTCAATACTATAAAAAAAGCCACGTTGAACTCAACTTACCTCTATCTTTATTCTTAGCCACCTAGGGGAAATGATAAAACAAATCACTTGGTTAAAATAATATTAAACAATTTTTGTTTTATTTTATATGTTAAAAAATTGTTGTGTTCTTTTAAATCCACAAGAAGCAAATCATACTCACCAACTCAACCAATATTCTTATGAGATCTGTGCTATTAAAACAGCACTGCTTGTGGCCATCTTTGATATGTATCCGCAGTTGATTAAAAAGGGTTTCCGTAAGATACGGAGGTTGAGAATATGTCACCACCTGTACACAGTCCAGACACACGGGTTCCAATGTGCTGGGATTCCGTGTGGCTTCCTCTAACTGTTAACACAACACCACTATGGATTAGTATTCTTTTCTTATACAAGGCTTTTGAATGCGTACCCCGTCCCGAATCGTCCAATGACCACCAGTTTTCAAAATAGTTTCTATATTTTTTTAAGATAAGAAATATATACCAGGACTACGTTTCCTTTGAACACGTGACACGCTAAGCTAAAATTCAGAACAGGTCTTTAGCTTGCTGTAAATTTTAAGAGTTGGCTGAAGAGGGCTCATAGAAATAGCAGGGTAACAAGGGCAAAAAAATTATACTTATAGGTTGATCGCATCCCTATAGTGGTAATTAATTATACTTTATTAGGACATAAACAAATTAGATTTCTATAAAAAGCTTCATGACATGGAGACTTGCTGACAGATAAAAAATCTTTTCAAGACTGAAATCAATGAAAAAACCTTCAATACGCCTGACGTTTAACACAGTGAAAAAAACCCACATCCCCATTCTTAAGCCTACCTGTGCTTGTTATTAATCGATACACCTTTGAGACGGTTACATACTTTTGAATTCATAAACATAAACAAAAATGTTTCGTCCTTACCGTGTTTAGCGGTGGGTAGGATTGTTTAACAAGTACTAGAATCAAAACAACGGTCGAGAGTGTAAGACTGGCAATGGAAATTCCCAAGTTTAGTTTCCAGTTCTCCAGGTACTTTCTACAATAAGTGAGGAATAAAATACCGAACAATAATTATAATAATTGTACATAGTTATTATAACACTAAATAACTCAAACAAATGACTCAAGTACGTACAAAAAAAATTGATTTTCTAACTTTATAATATAATAAAAGAAAAACTTGGAGACCTTTCAACCCGAAAGGATACTAATAACAGTGTTAGAGTTCAAGTCTGTCTATGAGCTATACAAAAAAGTCAGCTACTCTGACGCTTGCAGTAAAAATAAAGAAAATGTTCACTATAGAATAAGAAATTGAACGGTTTTTTTTTTAAAAGTTATTGTGCTGGTAAAAATCGTATATATCATAGATGGTCAAATTGTAACCTATATTTAAAAATAAAATTTAAGTATTTACTAATCTCTACAAAATGTGCATGTATTTACCCTGTTTGAGCCGGCACACTGCTCAAAGATGTGCTCATTTTTCAAAATAACGTGGTCAATCTGTTGAGTTTTACATTAAGCATGCTATAAATAAACATAAAAAATGAACTGTTTAAGGCTATATCTCAACAACAAAAAATTTTGGAGGAGGGGTGAAGAAGAGGTTGGAGAGGAGAATGGAGTGGTGGAGGGGAGTGAATGTAAGATTTATAATTTGGGAGAGATGAACAGATCAAAATGAAACCATATATTTTATGCACTTTTTATGTTATATCGAACATCCCTGTGGTGCTACAGCCCCTTTAACAATTCCTTCACCTCGGACCTAATTATGCTTTTATTTTACATGCTTGAATACCCAGCAGCTGTGGACTTTTTTTCTCCATATCATCTATCTCTCTAAGCCTAGGTCTGCCATTTAGCTGTACATAAAATATGAAACCAATTATATAATTTAGTTTATTTATGCTCTCTTTGTTTTTAATTAGCACATTAATAGTGCTACACGGGTGGGCGCTCATAGATCGAAACATAATATGTGTACTGAATGATAATTATAATAAATCATAATAGAATTCGCCCTAGTGATCCGTAACAAGTGATAATCGTACATTCGGCAGACGTGCAATCTGTTTTGCACACTAGCAAATCTATAGAGCCAAGGGTGACGTCCGCGAGCCAAGTGTGAGGTCCGCCAGCCAAGGGTGAAGTCCGCGAGCCAAGTGTGAGATCTGCGAGCCAAGTGTGAGGTCCGCGAGCCAAGGGTGAGGTCCGCGAGCCAAGGGTGAAGTCCGCGAGCCAAGTGTGAGGTCCGCGAGCCAAGTGTGAGGTCCGCGAGCCAAGTGTGAGGTCCGCGAGCCAAGGGTGAGGTCCGCGAGCCAAGGGTGAGGTCCGTTAGCCAAGGGTGAGGTCCGCGAGCCAAGGGTCTCCTGTTCTAACTTCACCGAAACAAATTATCGCTGAAATTATTTCCTTTTGTTGATGTCGTTGTCTAGTCGTAGCGGCAGAGTTGACGAAACTTTACAACACCATTATTTTTTTTTTACTTCTGCGTCTTTCCAACGCAGTGTGTACATGCTCTGTCAATCGTGTATGCTCTCGTAGTGCTAATGATGGGGTTGTTTTAACTTTCCAAAGAGTTAATGAAGGGCAACTTTGTCTTTACAATTAACTTTATAACAATTGGTATTCAAATGCAATCAATTTACGAAGAGTTGGGGATTTTGGTTAAGTCTACCTTGATTTGACATAATAAATTCATTTTTAGTGCATGCACTTTACACTGAATAATTAGCCAAACTCAATGATTCCAAACTGTGTACTTCACAAAAGGGTAATTGGAAATTTTAAGGTTGATTGGGTGCAAATAGTCTCTGAGATAGGAGAAAAGAGTGGGGAGGGGGTGTTGGTTAATATTAGAGAAGATTCTGTATTAACACAAAATAACTATTCTTTTTTTTTTTGAGTAATTGATTGAGATTCAATCAGTTTTATTATGAACAAAAAAATAAATAATTGAATTTGGAAGTCTAAACAGGCCTGTGATAGCCTGGACCCACAAAGCTTGTGGAAAACTCTCAGGAACTAGCAGGAAATCTTAACGGGCCTGGACCGACAAAGACTATGGAAACCTGGAAGTCTTAAAGGTCGCGACATCGGTGTTAAAAGTTCCGGACACCTGTGAGGTGACCTACTTTTTTGTAGCTAAGTTGTAAACATGTTATAATGATTTTAAATAGATTAAACCTAAAACTAAAGAGATGAAAGATTTTACACTTAATTTACATTTTCATGCCTTTAAATATTTTAAGTAAAGTCATTGTTAGGGAAATTAATAGATATATTTGACATGTTTTTATTGTTGTGCTTTAAATGGAAAAAAAAACCAACAACGTCATTATAAAGGATTTGACCAGACAAAGATTATTCTCAATTAGAGGAGTGTTAAAATGTAACATATTTCAAGTTTAATATAATTATGTTAATATTTATAAGCAATTAATTCTTTTTTTTAATTTATGCTCTTGGGTATTAACTTATAGAGCATTATGCAATACTGGACAACTAAGCAGATCAGGCAGAAGCCACATCCATTTTCATATCCAGCACCCTCCGGTATGCATCATGAAAGTTTAAATCGTTTACTTACCTACCACTTAGTTGAATGATGTTGTGAATAGCGGTGTGGTGAATATATATTATAATCTCTCCTTGACCCCATGCGTAGTCCTCTAAAGGGATTGCTACACCTGAGCGGCAGTTACGTGAAAGTTTTAAGGCTGTATCCGGGTTTCGAATTTGTTTCCTTCTCTTAGATAAGTTGCCACTCAAGTTTAAATTATCCACCCGGGGAGCTGGTGTTGTTGTAGATTGACTTGGTCTGTGGTGGGTTTAGGTTAGATCCAGTTTACTGCCCTCAACCACCCAGTCACCCAATGGGGTGAATTTACTCGAGAAAGATAAGACTACAAGACATTGCGCAAATTAAATACGTCTCCGTAATGTAATGTTAAAAAAAAAAACACTATGACTGAATTATTTCTATCGCTTGATACGCTGAAAAGATCAATCAAATTATTTGGAGGAGAACTAAATATAACTAAATAGAATGGGCTTCATTTAGCACAGAAATAGCTCTACACAGTAGGGCGCTCAGAGATCGAAACATTACTTTTGTTGTGAGACAATAAATTGGAATAATATATGTTTAATAAAAGTTTCTTGAAAGCTTGCTTCAATATACAAAGCAAAAAAAAAAAAAAAATTCACTCGCGTTAAGGTTAATTATTTTATTCATATTTAAACATTACTTTTGTTGTGAGAAAATAAATTGGAATAATATATGTTTAATAAAAGTTTCTTGAAAGCTTGCTTCAATATAAAAAGCAAAAAAAAAAAAAAAATTCACTCGCGTTAAGGTTAATTATTTTATTCATATTTACTAACGACACCAGAGGTGTACCAGTAATTTGTATTTAATACTAGCTGATAAACCCGGCGTTTCCCGAGATTGCATTCGGAAAATAAAAACGTCTACAACCTTTTAATTTTCATTGAAATTAAGCACCATGTAAAAAAAAAATTGTTCTATAAAAACACATTTATACTAACTTTGGTAAACCATTCGTTCCTCGATGTGATTCCAATTCCAGAGGAATTTCAATCAGATCCCGCTTCCCGATGGGATCCGGTTTTCTGATGGTATCACGGTATCCTGAGTGATACCGACCCGTTCCCGTTCCAGTTGGGATTCCGTTTCCCAATGGGTTCCTGATCCCGGTGGGATCCAATTTTTAGGCGGAATCCCGTTATTAAGGTGTATTCCATTATGGCCCCGTTCTCCTTGGGATCCAGTTTCCCGATGCGATCCTCTTCTCCGATGGGATCCTGTTTGTCGATAGATCAAAAGTGAGATCCTCATCAAAACGCTTTAAAAGATCTTTTCTAAGCAACTATTTTACGAATAATAAAAATTATATAACTTAAAGCACTTCAATGACTATAATACAATTAAGCTGAAAGAGGCGGGCCCTGCTAGGGTTCATCCTATAATTGTACCGAATAAGATTTGTCTGAGCTTGGGGGAGGGGGTGGATGGCTATAAAAATCAGTCAGATAAATAATAAAGTTAATTTTTAAAGTTTTCATATTAAAATCTATTTTAAAAAATGCCATAGATATAGCTTTTAAAAAATTATGAAATTTCTTCACAATTCTAGGTTGGATATTATCAACTTATCTAGTGTTGTTATAATGCCTGGCTCGTAAAATGGTAGTGGGCCACCAAAGGAAGAACTATCGGGGCCCTGTAGGACTGCAGCATCAAACTTTAATTCGGAGCTAAAGGCTTTTCACGGGGCGTTAGTTAAAGCTATAGTGGAACTAAACTTGACAAGAAAATCAGGACAGACGTTATGAAGACAGTCTGACATAACCTTAATGGTGTTCTGACAAACCCTGCTCTGATTTTATGACTTATTTCATCTATTCCCCAAGCTAAATGATAGGGTCTGTTGTTTAGAAACATCTGGTATTGCATATAAAAAACTTGCAATACTTCCAGCAAGAATTCCTCGACGTCCACAAAAGTGGGATGGATGGCAAATTAATATAATTAAGGTAATTACTTTTTAAAAAAATAGGAAGATACTATAGGTAAAGCTGTCAATTAAACCAGAGATATTGCGTAAGTTCACTGGGCATTTCGGCACTATAAAAAATACTGTTCTGTATAGCTCATTAGCCATCACACGATGCAGTTGAGATAATTTGTATAATATACATTTGAGTAATAGAGTATATCAAAAATGCTGAGCAAATCAAAGATAAAATATTCAACTTAATACAAATACATGAGCTAACTCTAAGTGCACAAATCGGGGCTGTTTTTGCTTAAGCATTTATTTGTTTAACTGAGGAAATTTGGTACCAAGACTTTGTTCTTCAAAACTACTGCTAAAGATGTAAAAGTTACCCCACAGTCATAAGCTTTTAAAATTTTTTTTTGGTGAATTTTTATTTTGCCAAATGGCTTTTCAAAGAAATTTTGAAATAGTTTGAAACTATAAAATCTTTTTTTTTCTAAAAATTTTTAAAAATATATTATATTTTATGTTCATTCTTTGATGTGATTCATCATCAGCATAGATCTACTCAGTAGAGTCGTTGATTTTAAGCCACAATTCATTAGTAAACTGATTTGAATATGCTACATTCACGTATATCTGAAACATTTCTAGAATGCTATTTTCATTCAACCCGTTGTTTGTTGATAAATCATTTTTGAAAAAAAAGATGTAAATCAGAAGGAGTTATTTCGGGTAAAATTTCCGAGTGAAACAAATCGTATCATGCAAGTGACGTGGAAACAGAAGGAAATTTCCTATATCTATTCTATCTGTATTCTGTGTCAGGGTTAGTTAAGATGCATAAGAATGTATTGGTTTATGTCATGGAATAAGAATTTATAATGGTTTTTTTTAATTTGCTAAATGCAAATACTTGTAGAATCCTTATTTATTGACGAAGTGATTTCAGACTTCTGCTAAAGAGTTTACCAATTTATTCAATTACCGATGTTCTTATATCAGCCACGTTATGTTGGCTTTATAGTGTATGGCGCCTTTGTCTACAAAGGGAGACATAGAATGGGGGACAATGACAACATTGTACACTTGTGCTAGAATGACAATCGCCGTGTATAAAAGGTGTGTGGGAGTTAACTGTTCAAATAACGAACTCTGTGCCAAGGCTGTAGAATTGCAGATCGTGTTTTTAACGACCCATGACTTATTCACTACCTGCTTAGCGCGATATATTAAAATAGTCTACCCTCTTATATGTCATATCCGTTAGGCTCGGGCCAAGGTCTGTGCGTTGAGAATCCAGTAGTGTATGCTCTGAATTCAACCGAAAAGACAACACAACTATTTTTGAAAATAATCTAAATATATAATTCGCCAGAAGTAGGGCAAACAGGAAGACGACCACGCAGGCTACATATAGATACGCCAGAGCAAGCAAGATCCCGGCAAACCCTCCCCTTCCTTTCCCTTGCCTGCCCATCGTTGATCTCGAGACATGCGGTGGAGCTACTGCATCCCCCCCTCCTGCACCAGCATCGGTTGCCAGCTAAGCTCACGGCGTATGCTAAGCTGCGGGTTGGCTATATTTATATAGTTCATGGGCGTGAAATATAAAGTTTGCAGTGACGTATCATGAAAAAGGTGGGGGGGGGGGTGTAGCAAAATTGGCATTCTTAGATGTGCATAACTTTAGTTCACGTTTTTATCAAGTAACTTTAATAGATGGGAAGTTCACGCATTGCTTTCGCCAATGTTTGGCGGGCTAAATCTAGTATAATATAGTTTACTACTTGGTTGTACAGAAGTCCCTTACTGTGTAAATGGATCTGTAAAAGATGTGATGTAAATCTGATGAGAGTTGAAGTGATCCCCAATAAGTATTAACTCTGATATAGCTCACATCATCAATAAGACCTACATCCTACTAGCATGTGGGTGAATATAAGATTTGTCCAGCGTATTGGCTATACATATGGTGGTCAAGGACACAATTTCTGTGAAATTTTTCTCGGCTACTGCAATTAAAGTGTCGCATTGAATTGACTCATCACATCTTGGCGGATATATTTGAGGAACATATCATATTGAGGCTTATATTTTTTTAGGCATATGTAAAGCCTGAAATGAAATCCCAAACCTTGAGACATTGAATTAAAATATTTTATTTACAAAAACATTTAAAAATTGAGAGCATATATTTAGATATACGTAAGTTACATATAACTAGCAAGCCCCCCCCCCCCACCCTCAAGCCCAAGCGTTCACTCGACAGTGAAACAAAAGTATTTTTATTAGCTAACACCCTAACGACATTGTTTGTGCAAAAAGCTACACAAAGATATGAATTAAAATATTTTATTTACAAAAAAATTTAAAAATTGAGGGCAAATATTTAGATATACGTAAGTTACATATAACTAGCAAGCCCCCCCCCCCCCACCCTCAAGCCCAAGCGTTCACTCGACAGTGAAACAAAAGTATTTTTATTAGCTAACACCCTAACGACATTGTTTGTGCAAAAAGCTACACAAAGATATATTATAGGTTTTATATCCCATTATATATAGTTGCTAATATTGATTGATTAATTTGTTGCATGTAAACTTGTACCATAAGGTAATGAAGCACTCTGTTCAAAGAATGAAATCAACAACAGAGGATGGTATTTCTTATATTATTTATACATGTCACATAGGTACTTACCAACTGAAGTTATGTGGACATACTGATGACATATTTAGCCGTGGTAGCCCAGTAACACTGAAAGGGCCGTCCATTAAGTAAGTGGCTAAAGTGGGGACGGTGGAATGTTTTAAACAGTTTGACACTTTGTGATAGGGGGTGGGGTAAATATCATGTGTTACGTAACGGATTATATATATATATATATATATATATATATATATATATAATAATAGAAAAATAAAATAAAAGTGTTCACACTTCTGGTTACACGAATAGATATTTCTTGATTTGTCTACTGTGCTCTGTTCTTTGTTATATTTTAAGTTTGACACTTTGTGATAGGGGGTGGGGTAAATATCATGTGTTACATAACGGAATATATATATATATATATATATATATATATATATATAATAATAGAATAATATAATAAAAGTGTTCCCACTTCCGGTTACACGAATGGATACTTCTTGAGTTGTCTACTGTGCTCTGTTCTTTGTTATATTTTCATTTCTACTGTTGGCTGAGGAAGGCTTTATGCCGAAACTTCCTTGTTTTTTGTCCCGTTATCTTATTTCAAGCTTCCACAGACCTCATTTTGCTATTTCATTCATTTACTAAGCTTGAAAGCAGTCCTTTAATTTATATCTCTCCTTCCAGGCTCGTGGAGTAGACT